CTTTACACGAGATTCATTATAAATTGTATTCGATGTTAAGCGTAATGTAGTAATAGGAAAAACTGATAAATTTACGGTAGGAAATAAAAATTACATTGTTTTCGATTTTTTCAGTTCTATTTTTCCCTCAGAAATCTTGCTCCGAATTCCAAGAGCAAAATCTACTCAAAAAGAAAACATTGTCAAGTTGTACATAAGAAAGTAGTTTTTTGACACGGTAAAATGTTTAAAACATTTTGACGATTTTTGAAATATTTATAAATGTTTAACCTTTTTGAGTTTTTATTAACTTTTATTTGTTTTTATGTGCATAAAATTGTTCGACCGAGCAGAAATGATTGGAAATTTAATACGAGGTTCATTATAACTTATAACAATAATTTATAAGTTTTGCTTGTTGATGAAAAAAAGTTTAGCGGAGTTTTGTATATATGCGTTAAAAGTTTAAATATGAACGGGAAAAATTAAAATTACGTAATTTCGCATACTAATTTTTCATAAAATATATATAATATTATGTGAATATAATTTTTTTTAAAAAGTCTAAATGTTTAAAAACTGAATAAGAGATTTATCATAAATCGTATTTTATAGTAAAAAAATAAAACCAAAAATTTGATCGGATGTAGTAGTTTTTTAAATTAGTTTATTGTATAAGATTATACAAGATTTTTCATATTTTGAATACTTGTTTCAATAATTAGTATTTTTGACTCTGAGCATAGTGACTAGCGTGCTGGGATCTATTGGTTTTACTACGATTTGTTTTCTTTTTCTGTTTTCAAAGAATTTTTCTACCCGAAATCTCGTTCAAATTACAAAATGACAAAGTATCTTCTTAGCTGCGTTTTGGATCTATTTGGCGAGTAATAAATTCGTCTTTTTCTCCATAGTTTGACAATTAAAAATAAAAAAAAAAACCCGGGAAAAACGTAGAAATAATGGGAAAGTTTACGGAAATAACGGTTTCATTATTTTCAATTTTGTGATTTTGTATTGATTTTTAAGTTTTTCTATGACAGTCGATAATATAAGCTGTATAATAAAATATTTAAAGTAAATAAATATATAAAAATAAAAAAATAAATGAAACAATGCGTTGCCTGGAGTATTATGATAAGTGTATACGACCGGTTTCGAATTATATATTCATCGTCAGGTTGTCACACTCAAAATGTAAAACGCGACTGAATATAAAAAATTAAATTAAGGAATACATAGAAAAAAAAAAATTATAAATTGGTCGTTTTACATAGAAATAATTTATTTTAATATTATAGATTATTTCAAATGAGCTATTATTAGACATAGATATGTTAAGAACTATAAATTGTTTAGTTATTATTTATTATCTAGAATGTATTGATATTAGATATTATTTTTAAAATCGGTTTGAACATTAAAAATATTATTAAAATTATTTTTCTCTTTTTCATTATGTATGTGTAATTCTTCTAAAACTGAATTAATGTAAATGTTATCGTGAGTATTTAATATTTCTAAGTCTGTATTAATATCAAAACTTATGCTATGGTTGTGTTCTAAAACATGTTTAGCGAAATTTTAATTAGGGGCAGTCTTTTATAATTTTATTTCCGAAATGTGTTCTTTATATCTTATTTTAAAATTTCTATTCGTCTTACCTATATAAAATGTATTACAGTTACATTTAAGTTTATATATACCAGCATTTCATTCAAAAGAAGGGGTAGTATTTAAAGGATCACCCATAACTAACCTATCTTTTTGCGAATATAATTTATTATTATATTGAAAATAGTTTTGATTAATAATTAAATTTATTGATTGAATAATTTCTTGTACTTCGTTTGTGTAAAATTTATTATTATGTATTAATTGAGTGGCGTACGCAAGATTTTTCAATGGGTGGGGAAAATTGATATTAATCAGTTATTTTGTTGCAAGTTTGAAATATAAAGTAGGTGCATTCTCAGTTCTGACTGATAATAAACATAAAATATAAGTACATAAAAATATTTAAAAAAAAGGACGGACATACTTCACACGTGGCCACTGTTGTAGGTGGGAAGTTGGGAAAGTAGGATTTAAATGGAAATTCAATTTATATCTGGAAGAAACGATAAACCATTGGTACTGAAAAAACGATTCTAAGCGGAGTTCAGTTGATAGTGTTGCTTTGTCAACAATACATATGTCATATTATGTTAAAATGATTACGTGAATTAAATGATGTGCGTTTCCATGACAACAATAATTGTTTACAAAAAATAAAAACAATAAAAACTTAGTAATAACAAAAAATAAATAATAACGGTTGCTAATGACAACCTTATTGTTAATCTTTTAATCTTTTTTAACCAAAAAAACTAGGTTTCCTCATTATCTTGAATATTAATGAGAATTTCAAAAAATTACCTCTTTAAAGTACTACCCAGAGAAAATTTCCATTCAGAAAAGGTGCTGTACTTGATAATCGGAGTAAGATTTCTGGTTGTAAAAGTGTTCACATAAAAAAAAAAAAAAGATCTTTGTAAAATCAATACATTCTTCACTAAACTCAGAATATAAAAAGTAATATTTAACTAACTATGAAAATGTTGCGCAGTAAAATACAATTTTTAAGCCAGTGAAGGATTAAAAAAGCCAGGGGTCAATCAAAATTAGAATTTTATGACTTGTGGATTACATACATACCTACCGTTTTTTTTCTTCCATCTAAAAGTTGAAAAATATTCGATCTTTTTTCTACTAAAATGAATAATTAAATAGTTATTTTAGTGGGTAAAACTATGCGATACGTTTTATACGAAAACAATGACGATAAACCTATATAAAATATTATTACTTTGATACTCAAGAGAAATAAGTGAAAACAAAATTATCTACATACCTACCTAATTTTTTTTCACTTATTAAAGGTAATATTACTATTGTCTACAATATTCGTAGGTTAACTGAACGATGCGTTAATTTTTGTTAACATCAGTTCAGTAAGTTCAATATTGCAATTTGCAATCATAGATATTATTTAAGGTTGTGTGGAAGCCCGCGTAAGAAACGGTAACACCAACCACCAAAGTTGTTATAATAACAAAACTATTGTTTATAATGAGCGTGATCACGGTTAAAATAAATAATAAAAAATAATAATGTTATAAATCTAATAAAATCTTATTTTGCGATAATATACTAGTATAGTAAGGTTATAAATAGACAGTCGTGTTAAATTATTTACTTAAGAAAAAAGGGTATTTTATGAAAAAAATTCTTTATTTACTATTTATTGTAACAGTTGAAACTTGGAAAATATAAACAAATATGTATATATATACATATATATATATATTTATAAATACGGTTAATGGAGGGTGCTTCAGCCCTTTAGACCCCTCCCCTGCGTGCGCCACTGTAAAGGTTTATTTTTTTAAAAAAATGTACTGTTTCGTGTTTAGGAATGGATGTATATAAATTGTTGACGTCAAAAGAAATCATTTTGTAACCTGGCTCAATATTAATTTTATCAATAAAATCATAAGTGTTTTTATAGAAGTATCAGTATTCATGTTTAATTTTTCTTCCATAAGTCTAAATATTTAGCAAGGTATTTTATATTCATACAGACTTAGAAATATTAAATACGCACGATAACATTTACATTAATTCAGTTTTAGAAGAATTACACATACACAATGAAAAAGAGAAAAATAATTTTAATAATATTTTTAATGTTCAAACCGATTTTAAAAATAATATCTTATATCAATACATTCTAGATAATAAATAATAACCAAACAATTTATATTTCTTAACATATCTATGTCTAATAATAGCTCATTTGAAATAATCTATCCTATTAAAATAAATTATTTCTATGGAAAACGACCAATTTATAATTTTTTTTTTTTCTATGTATTCCTTAATTTAATTTTTTATATTCAGTCGCGTTTTACATTTTGAGTATGACATACCTGACGATGAATTTTTAATTCGAACCCGATCGTATAATACATTTAACATAATACTCCAGGCGACGCATTGATTCATTTATTAATTTTATTTTTAGATGTATATTTTTTTTTTACTTTGTTTATTTACTTTATTTATTCACGAGTATTAACCATTTTAATAATTTTGTTTTTACTTTATTGTTTTTTAATAAAATATTATTATTATTGTCGTTCATCGCGGTGGTCGAGCGGAGGGTGTAGTGTCCCAGATTCATTATTTAAAACATTGTGCGAATATTATTCGTTACGAATTGTACGGTGACGCAGGGCACGCGATAAAAAAAAAAAAAAATAAGAAACCGTTTGTTATTGTTGTGTTGTTAGAATGTGGAACACGCGTAATCGCGCACTCGACAAATAATAATTACGTTATTATTATTAATATCACAATACGGTAATAATAATTCGTAGCGGGTTATCGGATTTAACGACGGCGGGCGAGGAATAACGTTTGTGTTTTAGGGGGGGGGTAGGAGGGGAGGGGAAAGGGATTTTTGAAAATATCACGTTTCCTTGCAGTATTTGTCAGCTGCACACACACACAATATTATTATTATATATTATTATGACCGTAGATTAATTAAACTGCTAATATGTAATCAGTATGTATATTAATTAATCTATGTTATAACTTACAACCAAACGTTGTAGCAACGGGTAGGTAAGTAGTTTGTGTGTGTGTGTGTGTGTGTCAGTACGGTGACGCGGTTTCGGCGGCGGGCGGAGGAGAGAAACACACAATCGATAGGTCGGCGGTGACGAGAGGGGTAAGTCGTTCTCGCTCGCACGCACGCAATCGATTGCCGCGGCGACCGGCCGTTTCGTTGCGGGGGAGGTAGGGGAGTAACGAGGGGAGAGCTCAGCTGCGGCGGCGGCCGCGGCAACAGCAGGTCATCCTCCTCTCGCGACGGTCGTTGTTTACGTTTCGCGACACCACAGCGAGCGCATGCGCACCGCGCGCGCGGACTTCTAGCCGAAGCGGTGCGCTCTCTCCTCGCCTCGCCGTCACCGCCGACTCACCGCCCGCCGCTCGTCGCGGCCCGCGTACCGTTCCGCTGTACCGCCACCGACGATCGCGCGCACAGAGGATTTCCCACCGCGGAGCGCGTGTTCGCCGCCTTGTTGTTTTGTTGTTGTGTTCATTCGTCAGCTGTTCGCCGGATCAGACGCGCGCACGTAGCCGCGAACGATTCACGTATATTAAATCGTATCTCACGCGCGTTCTTCTCGCCGTCGTCGTCGTTGTCGTGTGTCTTTGTCGTAGAGTTCCGGCAGTCCGAGTACAACTTAACTGTTCTGTAGACGTTTAGTGTTTTCTCGTCCGCGACCCAACGACTGTCTTTCTGCACACACGCACCGACACTGTCCGCAGAAACGTACCGACAGACGACTGTGCCGGCCGCCGCGCAGGTAAATCGTCAGCTCATCATCATCGGTTTGTTGCCGATTATTTTCGTTAAGATTAGTACTTAGCGACTGCCTATAGCGCGTTTGTCATTTGTATCGATTACGCCGGAGACGGTATCTCGACAAACTTTGCCGCGACCATAGTAAATTATTATCGTTTTTCCCGTAACGAGTGAACGAAAAAAAAAAAAATACGCTTATATCAAACGGATTAAGAACGGATTGAACCCCGGCTTTTTGAGAGCGGGCCGTTGGACAATTTTACCGGCCAAAGTCGAGTGACCGTTTATCCCCGTGCGCACGGTATTGCGTAGTTGGTAAAACGTTTTTACCGTCTCCGACACGACTGTCGCCGCGGCCGACCACTGACCGCCCGTCGCCAGCTCGTGCGCACGTGCGATTCGCGTATAAATGATTGCACAACAATGCCTACTTTTTTTTTTTTTCTCGTCACGACATCGCGACACGGTCGCACGTGGGAGATCCAGGACGGTCGGGGGATCGCTCGCGAATCACGAGTTCAACATTACGCGGACGGAACGATCCGCGTGATTTTCTGTGTCCGGGTGTACAATAAATACCAATTATCGTGTCGCTACTTTCAATAACATCGTTGTTTGTTTTGAATGCGTTACCTAAAAAGAGAAACGGTCCGCGAATCGGATCACTCGTTCTTGTTTTGAGTAGCGTAGGGGACATTTGAGAGGGGAGAGGGGAGCAGAGCCAAACGATTTGTTGTAGATTTGTTTTATTCTCTAATAATCGGTTTTAAAAGCTTCGTTTTACGCGAACCTGTTCGGAGATTCGGAGCGTAGTGAAGAATGTATTGGTTTCTCAATGGTATTTTTTTTGCATTTTTTTTTTTTTAATCTTGCATCTAATTTTCAATTGTAGTGTCTTTTGCGCGAAAGGAAACTTTATCTGAGCAGTACTTTTGAGGGGTTCATTTTTAGATTTTCCAAGCGGTTTCCTTAACAATTGGGGGAAAAACGTGAAAATGTACGTGCACGTATATAAGAAATTTCGCTCCGAATCATGTTTCGTTAGCAACGGTCTATCACCGCGTACAGACATAAATTAAATTCCTCTCCATATCCTCTATATAATTTTCCCGACTTCTCACCTACAACAGCGGCCTACCCATCGTGCCCTATCATGTATACGTCCGTCTTTTTTGTCCGTTAGAAAGACAAGAGACCGCGAATGTCGCCGTGACGTTCTCTTAATAATATACGGTCTTTGTTTTTTATTTATTTAATTTCTTTCAACATTTTTCACGGGACAAAAGCCCTTTAAATACAATAACAATGATAACAAGAAAAAAAAAAAGTAATAAAAAAAGGGAAAGAAAATGCATACAGCAATGTTATAAATTGATAGGGCATTTAGAAAAAATAACTAAAGCTTTTGACCTAAAGCTTTCTCGGGACATGAAAAAGAAATCAACGTTGGAACAAATTAGGTTACAAAATTAAAAGCGCTCTCGGGAAAAAAAAAAGCCTGTGCAAACTTTTACGTGATAAATCGGGACAATCAATATTATTATTGAGAAGACCAATAAGACGTCAGCTGGCTTACGTTTAACCGCACATGGCTGAACATGAACAGAATCCGCTACTAATGGCATCGGATCCCTGGGATTAGGTAAATTTAAACGGAAGGCAATTGATTTTAGGGATTTATCGCGCGGTTAAAGGTGTTTTCGGCAATCATTTCGAAACGCACATTTTATCATTTTTTTTTTTCTACGTTAAAACAGCGAGCGGTGGGCTTTCTCGCGTTGTACCCATTAATGAAAATATTCGCGCGGTTTTCGACCTACGCATGCGAGTGTGTGCTGTGCGCATTTCTCGCGGACATCTGCAAATTATTGCGCGCAGTTGGAAAAAACACGCGGCCCGCTTTGTTTTCGTCGTCGAGCCAGCCCGCAGTCGCTGGCGACTCCTCCGTCGTTCGGTCGTGTCGAATCGTGTTTTTTCATGGTTCGCATAGACACCGATCGCTGTACGTTATTTTATTGTTGTCGACTCGACTGCCTGGATTCAGATGTCCGGAGAGGCCCCGGGGCCGGCGTTCTCAACGAGGTCCTGAACAAAACAAAATCAATAAAAATGTGGTTAAATATCATTACTCAATAATTAACAGGATAATAATAAAAAAAACAAAACTAACGTATACTACCTACATAATATAATAGAGGTCTGTTCGTAGTTTGCGCTAATGACCGTCGACGAAAAGACATTAATGAAAGCGACGAAATTTCATAAAAAACAAAGTCGACGATTAAATTTATAGACAAACGAGTAGATAAAGAATATAATGTGTATAGTAGGTACCGTGGCGAAAAACCGAGGCTCCCGGAGTTTTGTGATCTAGGGGGGGGGGTTGCCTCCGGATCACCTATTCTCCTTAATCCGGCGTTCAGTGATGTTGAATCCAGGTATTTGACAGGAGGGCAATAGCCTGTAGCTCCTGTAATTTTGTTTGTCCCCCTATTAAATGTGGGTAAAATATTAATTAATTAAATAACTAAACAAATTTGACCGGTGTTAGTAAGAGAGTACAGAAACAAAAAAAAAACAGTAATTTCTTCGAATTTTTTTACACGCGAAATTGGTACTCGATAATATTTCTGCTGCGTTTAAATAATACGAATAATAAGGAGTAGGTACCTATGTTTTTTTTTCTTTTTTTTATGAAAGTCGAACACGAACAAAAGACGGTTTTTTGACATTTTTTCCTCTAGATCTAATAGCTTTCAATAGTCTGAGAGAGATCGACCGAAATGCCGTTTGAGGTAAATGCCCAGTTTCCTTAACTCCCCAAAATGACGCCGCCGATTATGACGTGTTTATTGCCTGTGTAAGCAATACATTTTAGCACACATTTGGTGTAAGTAGGACATAATATTTTTAAAACAAATTAAAATTCTAATTAAATTATTATAATAAAAGCAAATTATAATAATATTAATTACTCGACCGATCAAAATACAACTACTCCAATTTTAGACAAAATTAAGTGCATAATTGCAATATCATTTTTCATTCATAATCCGTGTCGTATGATTTCAATTTTTAATGCACTACTATATAAATTACATGGAATATTATTATTTACCTAAATTAGGGTAAAATTCGTCCCGTTTAGTATAAGTCTTTAAACCTATTCGATTATACACAGTCAGAACCTGTTTACTTTATTTTTACCGAGCAGGAGGTTAAAAAATATTCGTATTTTTTTTTTTATGGTGGGTGTGCGAGGATACAGTTTATTTTTAAAAGTTTTTATGTACATATTATTATGGACGAAACATATTTTTTAAGTCTTGTTTGCGTAATAAATTCCCTGAAAGTTTGATTAGTCAGAAACTCGGGAACACCTCTCGACGCCTGTCCCCTTTTACCCCTTCGAAGTTTTTCCCATTTTGTTTAACCACGACCGACGTACAACGATTTGTCGATCCGATTTTATAAATGTTTCAAAATCGTGACGGTTGAATTAGGACGTTAGAGGTTAGAAGATATACAAACATTTGTATAATCGAAAACGAAACGAATTAATTCGTTTTCGTTCCTTTTCTGCATACGTGTACTTAAATATAAGATAGTATTTCGATTTGTTTACTTCCGCACGAATGTTACAAAACATTTAGGGCGTAGAAAAAATAATTAATATTATTTTTTTTTTTTTTTTGTATAGGTAACTACGGTGAAATTTAATTCAACAACCCATTTCGTACCTCTTGCACCGACATATATAATAATATTATTATTATCAGAAATAACGCGCAGCAGCTATTATAATATGCAACTTGCTACTAGAAGTATTCTGCATCACGTTTCTACGGTAAAAATATATTACAGTTAGGTCGTGTGCATGTTCGATATTTTTATGGCGTATAAAAAAAAAAAAAAACAACGTAGTATTATAATTTCTATTATTTACGCGTTCGACGATAGGACCGGGTGTATTATAATACACGCTGCAGTAGCGTCTCTCTCTTTTACGTTAAAAACATAATTCCGATTATATTAAAATAAACGCGGAAGTAACGTGTTAAAATTGCAGTTTTAAACGGGTTAAATGTTCGTATATAGGTAAATGATTTCTTCGTTGTTTCCCGGTGAATAATGCGAAATTGTATTGGGCAGGGGTACCTATATGAATTTACCTATCTGAAACGAACGCGACGTTCAAAGGAAACATCAAATTTATACTATCAGCCGCAGTGTATCCAGAGGTGGGAGTTTTCCCCCTTCCCGCCCTCCGAAATTTGAAATTTTTTTTTCTTACTTCGTGTACGTCACGCACTCCGCCCGTTTATCGCGATTTGTTATCTCGAAAACCTATACGAAGACTAGTGATGAGAATCCGAAAATCCGGATTTTTCAAAAACAACGCTATTTAAGCCCCTTCAAAATCGTATAAATATTATATATTATTACAATATAAACGTTAAAGATAAATGTTTGGATAAAAATTCGAAAAAAAAAAAAAAACTCTTAACTTTAATTATAAAATGCTTTCCAAACTCGGATTCCGGATTTTCGGATTTCAACAAATCCGAAATCCAAAAGCAGTTTAATTTTTTGGTTTTATGTTTTATTTTTATATTTTCATAAAAAAACTAGTTGTCCCGTCCGTTGTTGCCCGTGCCGATTTTTTATTGTATGTTTTACCCATATTACTTTTTTGTATTGGCCGTGTCGTTATTGAATGAAAACAAGTAGGTGGAAAGTGGGTAGTCTACCTTCGGCGGATTAAAAGTGTTCTGTTGTGACAGTTTTTCATGGTTTTCATACCAACAATATCTAAACACCGAATTTTTGAGAGGAGGGAGGGGGAGGAGATTTCAAAGGAAATGAAGTCTAACCTAATAACCTATCGGGGTGTAGGAACGCTCGGTAGTGGGGGAGCGCGTGTACTGTATTATAGATGTCACTTGCAGATGGCACGGCGTTTCTTTTATACCTTTATGTACGTATTTGCCGACAATTTATATTAATACAAAAGTAGTAATTCGATCGTTATAATTTGAGATCGGATTTATATGTTCTTAAAATCCACAGGAAAGCACTTGAAAACGTTAAAAAGCGTTGAAAAAAATAACTTAAAAAATGTATAAAAACGCAAAAATAATAAAAGAGGTTTAAAAGAGTCCCTTCCTCTAACTGATTTAATTTATAAATACAATTTTCTAACACTACAAAAATGATTATTAAAAAGTATTTTTTTTTTTTTATAATACGTATACAATTTTATTTAAAAGAAATTATTTTGTATGAATCAATTTTATAGTGTTAGGAAATTAAATTTAATAAGTTAGAGCCATTAGTGGGGGGGGGGACTTCTAAACTCTTCTATAATTTTTTGCTTTTTTGGTGTTTTTAAGCGCTTTTTTTGTGGATTATAGAGAATATAAATCCGGTCTTTAGTCATAATCTATATGTATTATGTATAAAAATGAATAGATATTTTGTCGGTGACGCACTGACGCCATAACTTGAATACCATCCAAATTTCCAACTTGCTCGAAAATAAATAGTCCCTGCGAGTTGTGTACGTACATATATAATTTAACTGTAAATTGCGGTGAACTAACACTTTTCAAAAATTAAAAACTGGATAAACGTTCAGATCGAATAGACTGTGTATTAAAAATGAATAAATGAACTTTTTCGATAGATGCCCACCGATGCAGCTGTTAAACGACATTTATCATATTTACCATGTACAAAGGGATGAAGAAATGACAATAAAGCACGTCAGTTAGATGATAGGTCTGCCCATAGAGTAAATAAAGACCATTGAGAAAAACGTTTATAATGTTAGTGCAACGGTTTCGAGTTCAAATCCCAGATACCATTAATACGTTTTTGCAACTTTCCTACTTATTCGGTTGACTTTTTAGACATTTTCTTTCATAAAAACCTTGCCCGGACAATTACGAACACAATCATAAAAAAAATCAGCAAAATCGATCAAGCCGTTTTCACGTGATACGATGACCAAGGGAAATAGAGATTTATTTTTATATATATTGTATAAATATTTTACTTGGGTACACGGCTTTATACTGTACAAATAATTAACACTTATATGATTTTTAAGTTTAATTGCTGTTTTTTGTGAAAATCCGGATTTTCGGATTCCCATCACTAATGAAAACCCGTCCGGAAATTTATTCGTTATCCCCCGATTAGGTTACACCACTGTTCAATATCTATGACGTATGATTCTTGTCTCCTCTATCCCCCCCCCCCCGTTCAAATTTTATGCGCAATTGTTTTTACGTATAATTTTCGTTATAACAATAATAATAAGTAATAAATTGGTTGTTTTAAAATATAAAAAAAAAAAATGAAATGTAGGTAATCGACCCTACACACGTCTACCTACGTCGCGTCGTCCGTCGTTTGACACCGAGTCCATGACCTCTCTATCTCTTTCTGTTCTGTGAACTCGTTTCGGTCCGTCCGGGAATATTGACTTGTCCGATCGCTTATCGCCGCGATTTATTTATTTTTATAAAACATAATAATACATATTTTTAACGTTCTTTGTTTTGATAACAGTCCGTTCAATGCCCATTGTTTATATTGGCGCGAGATCGACAAAGCGGCGGCGGCGGCGTGACCTCTCGATAAATTACGCGCAGCGATAATTAACTCGTATATAATAGTATAATATAGGCATAGATAGGCTGAAACGACCGAGGGCTTTCGCTTTTAACAACGCGTTTAATCGCGGTACGCCTCCTTTAAAATAAATACGCATGTACATTATATTTATATTAAAATAGGCAGGATTTGACAATATTCCGTGTGTACGGCGAAAGCTGCTGCGGTCCATGAAACGGAACTCCGAGGGCCCAGTAAAAACAAAGAGCCGAGGGTGCCCATCTGACGAAACCTATAAGGGAGCGACAGCCATAAATTAATAAAAAAAACTTAAAACCTAAGAACCAAACAAAAATCGATTTTATTTAAATAACGAATCAAACATACATTTTACATGTGAACAAAAACTGTACATTGCGTTTTTCCAAACTAAATTTTTCAACTAACTGGGTTATGAACTTTTTGTCTATGAACACATGAGCATAGGTACACAGTCCATCCAACCGGTATTCTTCTATACTCATTGGTATTATCACTAGAGAAATTTATTTATTATTTATTTTTAAATTTATTAAGGCTTCAACGACAAAGGTTTTTAGCCTGTATTTAGTGTTAACAAATTATTAAAAAAAAAATAAATTTATTATAACTAATAAAAAAAAAAAAAAAAAAAAAAAAAATGAAAAAAATTTTTTTCTAGGTCACCCCTTGCAGCACCCTTTAATGGGCGCCCTTGGCCGTTACTGCAGCTTATGGAGGCGTGTCACCGTCGTGGCTGACGGGATGCTGGGGCACATAAAGTTATTTAGTTCGTATCTGTACGCAGCGATAAATCATTTGAAACACGATTCCGAGCGAACGTGCCGCGATTTTTACGATTTTAGTCGAAATTCTAACGGAAAAAAAAGCTTATAAAAAACCCGTACTACATTGCGTTCGACTTTTTTTTTAACCACAAAGTGCGACTTGTAATGATTCTCGTGTTACGTTTTCAAATATTTTTGCCCGACCAAACGATTTTATCCACACAAAATCGAACAGAAACTCGGAACATGTCAAATGCCGATGTCATATGAATAACTCAACAATTTTACTACGCGTCTATTGAAAAGCCAATATATATGAGTATATGTGAAAATTTATTAAAAAACGATCCCTTTAACCTAATCAACTATTTGCTTTGCGAAAAATTGCGACATTCGAATGTCGGAATAAGATTTCTGGTTGATCAGTTTTGTACAAACAGAAAAAAAAAAAAATCCTAGTAAAACCAATATACATTCCTCGTTGCGTTCAGAATCTAAAAAACACATGTCTGTTCGCCATTGGGAGTTTTCGGTTTACAGATGTTTAAACAGGGTGAAATAATTCGATTTCGGGATCGTTTGAATTTCCGTTTTGTATACACCAGAGGTAAATTATAGAGTTTAAACCTATTTCAGTATATAATTATTACGAAACGAGAAATCGATTATAGCTTAATATTATATCTTAAGAAAGTTCCTTTGTAAAATAAAAAAAAAATTCCTATTTATTCTTTAGGTCATTGTAATATATTGATTAGGTTGCTATCAATTACAATTTAATTGGGAAATTTCGGCGGGGGAGAATATAAGAATTTTTTTTACCACCGACAAAATTGTATACGTGGAAACATTGCTAACGACTATAATATTTAAACATAACACGATTTTTTATCACGTTGAAATTGTTTTTCCGGTATTCGCGCAGTTGTATTTAATTTTTCTAAAACTAAAATTTTTTATTTTTCATTCTAAATTCCAAATAATATGTATATTATTATCATTAAATTGTGCAAATTTTTCCGAAAAAAAAAACAGTTTCAAACACTAATATTAATCACTGTTGTTATTGCGTTCTTAATCGCGATTTCGTTTGACGATATTATCCAGCCGTCCTTGATATTTTCGTACAGTACTTAATATTAATTTACAGTTTAAATTTGGTTCACCACTACAATATTATTATAATTTTTCCTACAAACCAGTAATATAAACCGTCCAATAATAAATCGCGTGTGCCGTTCCGGCCGGCGATGGTACTGCAGATCCCGGTTATGCGTCTTACAGAATATAATATTATAAATTATAATTGTTATTTACCAACGTTTCCGACGCGCAATTCAATACAATTATTTATTTTGCTGCGATATTATAATAATTGATATTCCTCGTTTCGTCGCGACTCGAAAATACCCACTGCTCAAACACTATAAAAATATACTTAGGTACGATAATACTGTAACAATAATTATTACTACACAGACTTTAAACTGCATACAGGGTGTTTCCGAAAAGTGTGCCGCTACTATAGCGTCGCAATACTCGCGGCTCACCCCCCAAAGTCTGTTCTTTTCCTCCCTCCGACTCTTGAACACCGGCGTAAGATTATAAATAATAATATTATTCCGCGATATTTCCTGAAAATTCGCCGTAATACGAATCGACGTATTAATATTGTGTCACGTCGTTTTCTGGCGATTATTTTGACGCTGAATCGCTTATAGGTAACGCGAACAAAAGAAAAAAAAAATTCACACTAAACTACGAATAAATAACGTAATAAAAAGCCAGTCTTTGGAAGTTGAAACGATTTTTTAAAAAATTCGTTATCGGATCACCGTGCCGCGAGTGTTGTACGGGTGCAACGCCGGTGCAAGTGATATTATTTTCAGAAACACTCCGTATACTCAAGTCAATATTATTAATATGGTTTTAAATTAACGTAAAATCAATGACAATTTAATATCAAATTTTTAATAGAATTTGTTTGGACATTGAACACGATATTATTGTGTACAATCGAGATTAAACGACACTACGAGTATGTTATTATGTGCGTATAATATTATTTTGTGAGCAAATAATCATTGTGAAAAACACAATAATTATTAATCTAATAGTTTCTTATCGAATTATTCGTTCTATTTATAAATTCGTTGAACCGTACTACATGTACTGTTTGTATTGCGCGTTTCCTATTTACTTTACAATTTTTTTAATAGCCACTTATCTTAAAACGTTTATTCGTCTTATTTTCTAATAATTGTATTTTTATGTCACAATGTTTTGACGACAACAGAACAACGGTTTTCGTATACAAATACAATGGTTCTAATAATATAATCAATAATATGAACAGCGTTGCCAATTTAATTTACCTTCTTGACCATTTCAAAAACCGAAACCGATAAAAAAAATTGAATTTAACGCCCCTCCCCCTTCATCCCGCGTCAACTCCGCCGTCCCATCATCGGCCGTATATGTGTGCTCGAATCGGGGAAACAAAATTAAACGGGGAACGCAAAAATGCTGAAAAAATGTTTGCGGACATGCGTTATTAGAGGGGAAACTTTTAAATCGCTCTGTCATTTTTGCCATTTTAAATATTTTTCGCGGTTCTCGAGGGAATAGAATTTCTGGTTTTAGTTATTATTTGTTGAATAAACATAAATCGATATTATTACGTCTCTTGTATAAATGACTTGTATGACGATTAAAATCAAATAAATCGCGAAACCGAAAAAAAAAAACAAAACAAAAATGCATAGAAAGACGGAATTCCGGCGAATAATTTAATTTGTAAGAAGGTATTGTACGTTTGCCGTTATTATTGACGCAGTCCAAATATTATATTGTTCTTACGTACACACACATCTCGTCGCTCGTACTTATTATTCATTCATCGTCCGTCTTTTGTCCGGTACATAGACACACCGCCCGGACCTTGATAATGAAAATAATGGAATGATATCGAACCATACCCATTATGCGTTCGAACATTTTTGACCATGAAGAAAATTATTAACCTTACGTTTTCACGAATAATATTTTATTACGACAACATTATTTTCGCGCTATATTTTTTTTTTCTTTCTTATATCGAATATCCGATAAAATATTGTAACAATTATTATTCTCTATTTCCGTGGTTCGATGGGCGTTAGCCCGTCTACGATTCGTACGGACTGTCCATTTTTAATAATTTATACCGAAACTCATAAAGCACACACACACACACTCACGCACGCACGCTTTTATAATATTCGAAGTGCGCCACCATTCGATTGGGCAATTTTCAGCTGTCCGAGTTTCATATTTTATTAATTTTCGTTTCGCGTATATAGATCATAATAATATATTGTAAGTACTCATCTGCATGTATATTCCGTTTAAACCTTTGAATCGTACGGCGTCCTATACGACACGTATACATGACGTGTAGCGGTAAAAAATATATGTACAAAACTATTATCTCGTCGCTCAGTAAAATTTGAAATTTTAATACGATTTAAAAAGTGGAAATGAATACAACCCCATTTATATTATTAAAAAATATTGAACATTTAACCGTCGTAATTATATGAAATTCCACAACTATGCATTTAAACATCATTATTATTATATTTCCATCGGAGGGGAATAGTTTATTTGTTTTTTTCGAGAAAAATACAAACACAGTGATAACAATGTAAAAACAATTTTAATTATTTACACTTATGGATTTAAAGAGTGTGGCTTGACAATGTAATTTTCAAATTTGTTTGTAAAGGTTTTATTTAATCTTTGTGGACGGATGAGCAGATGTAAATGAAACGGTATCTGGGTCCGGGGGGAAATGTTCCAGCGGAGCGGGAGGAAATGGCCGTATTTTAACAAAACGGGTGTTTGCGTTTTCGGCGGAATTCTCACGGACGTCGTCGTGGTTTCCGGTGCGCCGTTTATTTTTCTCTCGTGTCTAACATTGATACAGGATGATTTTATTTTCCGCGAATCAGCGATTATTTACGGAGATTTCGAGTAAATTTCAGTTGTTCTTTTAATCATAAATTATGATTACATTACGATTCATAGTATATTGTAACGTAGACGTATTATTTCGCGCGTTTACGCAATAATGATAAAATGTTAAACATACCTAACCTGTATATTATCGTAAATCCGATCATTAATCGGTCCAAAACGACTTTTTCGGCAAACGATTTTCAACAAAGTTGTCTGGAAAAATGTGTACTTCCGAAGAAACGTATATATATTGACCACATTTTAGTGTTCGGTTTGGTGATGTTTAACGAGAAAAACATAATAATTATTGCCACCGGTCCAAAATGTTGGCAACAAAGTCGCATATTAGTGACACCAATGCACCACTGTTGTCGCTGAACATATAGATGCGATCGCTTCAGTTCATCTAATAAATAGTAATAATGGTGCGGGTCAAATTAGTTGATAGATATATAAGATTCGTTGGTGTATATCTCGTGCATTGTAGTAAAGACTATTAAAACTATAATACTCAAAGTAACTTCGAGTACGAGATTCCATTAGAGTTTCATTAATTTTAATTTGCAATTCTTTGTGAAAAATACAAATTTAAGCGCTGTTTAGTGTTTTGTGTAACACCGTTATTGCAACGGTGTTTTCTACGTTGCAATAATGTACAGTTATTGCTATAGTAAATGCTATTATAGTAAAAAATTTAATAAAAAAGTGGAATATTTAGAATTTTTAACAATTATTTATTTATTTTATCACGATCTGTAGTTATTAACTCATATTATATTAACTCTTGGTAACTGAAAAAATATTTATTTTTTTTTTTTTTTGGGTGGGGGAAGGGTGTTCAATTTTTTTTTACGCTACTAATTTAATGACTTTATTGCTGTACATGGTTAAGTTTGTAAGCGTTATATATTTTACGAAAACAATTTTCGTTTTTTATGGAGGGGCGGATTCTCCCTTTAGGTGGACGGGTTCTTTAAGTCAATAAAAATATTTCGGTTCGGCGATAATAATTTTACGAGTTCGGCGGCACTATCGCCGGCTTTCGATGTACGAATCGCCCTGTATACAGCTGCATCAGCTGATGTTGCCAGCACAAACCGCTCGCGATAATCGACGACGGTCGCCGTCGTCGCGGACCGAGACAATCTTTCGACGGTAACGGTGGCGTCTGTGTGCTGTGTTATTGCGGCGTATTAGTAGAACGCCGTTTCCCCTACCGCCGCCGTTTCGGGTTCCTTGTACCTGGAGAGGGCATTGACAGTCGCCGCCACCGCCGTCGTCCGGCGGAAAACACAACGAGAGAAGCACAGATAAATAAAAAAAAAAAAAAAACGCGCGCAATATTGCTTTGTGCCCGTGGCCAACGGTGTTGTTATCGAAACGAGAGGTTCGCTCGCATATTTTTAAACTTTTTCACATCTCTGGCATCCCGGCAGTACGGTGGGGAGGGGATGGTAGACGGGAGGAGACTCCGCGTTTCGGGTCGTCGCCGTGTAAAATTGTCATCGGTAAACCCTTCCGGCGGTGAGTCGGTTTTTATTTGCGGGAAACACCGGGGAAAGAGAAACCCAGAGCACCCCGTCGAAATATTTCATTTCCTTTTCGAGGGTAGAGATACGGTATAGTTTTACCCTCCTCTACCTCTTTTTAATTTATTTGTCCGTAATTGGATTTAAAACGAAATCGTGTACGTATATGTACATAGATTCTCGAGAATTTGACGATTTTTCACCCGTCGGAATGGCACGTGTGTTTTGTAAGGAGGCAACACATGAAAGTGTTAACAAACATGATTTGTAACAAAAATCTACCAACATTATTGTCACCTTATCAAAAGAATATCTCCATAAATACATGGTTTTGTTTTTTTTTTATTCTGAGATTTCGTATACATCAAAACAAGTTGATTTATATGTAATAATATATATTTCAAAAACATTGTCAGTTAATAACAGTTTATCAATTGACCAGCTTCAGTTATTACCACAACCGTGTTCGTTTCGAAAGAATAGTATTTGGTTATTAAATTATTATTATTACCTATTATCTTGTAAAATATGGATTCCAGATTTTAAATAGTTTTCCCGAACGGTTCGATGACGAGACTATTCAATTTTTCCGAAATAACTCCCATTTGTAAATATTTTTTTATCATTAATTTATCAGCTTGTTGTACAGTGTCGGTTACTCGGTATTGTGTTTGTTTTGTATGTTTAATTTAAAACATTCGTTTGCTAAATAAATTTTTCTGTAGACTTTTATTTAAAGAACTATTAACTTTACTGATTAGTTACATAATTAGACTCAATAATTGTAATAATACCTAATCGCGAGCTGTTTTAGTATTGAATACATTCAATTGCTCGTTATTACTTCAAACCATAATTAATTTTCAATAATAATATTGTTGTTAGACGGTTATGACTAATATTATATTATTATAATTTACTACTTCTATATTTATTTTGTATGTACCTATATAATGATTTTTTATAGTATGATTCATAAAAAAAAAAAATAATAATAATACTCAAGTTAGTTTGATATATTATATTGTGCAATTAAATATTAATTGTTCGGTGTCGAAATTGTTTTTTTTTAAACTAAAATTATTATATAGTAGTATAATTGATTAAAACGAAAAAAAAAAAACAAATAATAATATTCTCTATGTACAGACATACATAAATATTTGTTTTAAAGTAATGTTTGATTTTGTTTAATTGCAAATTGATACGAAGTTGTTATTATGTTAATCATAATGTATAGCTATGGAAATATCAATTGGTTTTTTATAGGTACAATTAACAATATTTTTTGCCAAAAACATAATTTTATCGTTTTCAGTACATAGTTAAATTTAATTAAGAATCAACAAATAACAATCGAAACATCGTAGGTTTGTACTACTTTTTATTGATTTCAAAATAGGTTACACATTTAAATCATTAGAACGGGGAAATATTATTCAAAAAATTTATTAAATAATGTTATATTGCTACAATTAACCAAAGTAAATAATAACTAAATAAACGTTTTCCGATAACAGTGAGTGGTGAGCACACGCTAAATAATAATATTTGTAAACAATGATAAACAACTCAATTTTGTTGGTATACGATAGTGTTTAACGATACGTTAGGCACTTAATAATACTAGTATCTATAAATAATGTTAATCGATTGTGAGTAATTTTTTTCAAGTGGTACCGGAGCACTTGATGTCATATAGACACATAGTACATAGTACGTGCAAGCGAGTAGTCAGAAATTTCCAAAGGGCTGTGTTATGAAAAGTAACAAAACCTATTAATTTAAAATGATACGGACATACTTCGCACGATGGGTGGGGCACTGTTATAGATAAGCAGTTAGGAAGGTAGGATATAGGTGGGAATTTATTGTATATCTGTACGCGACGATTAATCATTGCTAACGAAAAACGATTCTGAGTGGAGTTCGGTTTTACATGTTTTGAAAGGCCGTAATATTTATGATTTTTATGAAAATTGTGTATTAAAATTCTTCTGAAAAAACGAACATTGTTAAATAATTTACATACCTTTAATAGTATAGTTACGTTTACGTATGGGGGTAGGTACCTATAGCTATATTGTAAAATAATTACCTTACATGATTTTATTTTAAACATGTAGTAAATAAAAACGGTCAAGGGGGGTGTTGCTACACCACCAACATCCCTCCTCTCGCTACGCCACTAAGTATATATGGTAGCATTGAGACGGTTTTAAATGCAATTGTTTTGAAACTAAAACTTATTCTCGTTTTAAAACGGTTTGAAAACATTTCGAAATTAAAACGCTTGCACAACCTAACTAGGTTTAGTTTAACAAATTAAAATCGTTTTAAGCGTTTAAAACGATTTATCAAAATAATGTACATACTCGTATATTATATTATAAACGGTTTTTGAAGCCTCATCACTTTATCAATTTTTGTTGGTGCGTTGCATGGGCAATATTATATTAATTGTATGTCGTTTTTAAAAAGTCACGTATCGATTTCTTTTTTAATTTTATATTCCATCAAATACTGTTACTTAAAAATTAAAAATAAAGTATATTATTATATTCGATTCGATTTTAACAAGAAATTACATAGCTATTAAATTTGTTTATAAAACGTTCACTTAACCGTTTTCATATCTGCGGACATTATTTAGACATGTTATTATGTGAACATGTATAATAGATATTCAGTAAAAACCTTTTAATACATTTAAAAACGATTTAATTTCAAACCGTTTTAAACCTCATCGTAAAACTTACTAATGGACGCAAATAGATGGGCAGGGGTTTCAACCGTAGCTGCTTCCTTCCCTGATAAATTTACGTGGTATTAGGGGAGACTAGATACGGTTGTAACATTTTTGATACGATTATTCATTTCTGCCAAGATTTACACTATTTTTGTTTGGTTACACTTTTAATCATTAAAATAATTTAATATCTTTATAAATATAATGAGTATTGAACCTTAAATTTTGCAAGTTGTCGCATAAGTAAGGATTACAAAAAAAAAACGTATTGTCCCGTGCTCCTCTACTTTATTATCTAGAAATATTTTTTGGACGTCGCTGTGCAACTAGGAAGTCACCGGACTTTGGAAACTGGCATGTGATGTTCATTTCCGTCACCGACATATTATTAATATTGTTGCCAAGCCGAAACCACATAACAATAACAAACATTTTTATGGTTGGCGCGTGTTTATTTATAAATCGTATAAAAATAAAATTTTTTTTTTTATAGAAAAGTTCGACGAGCGTGTCACACTGGCAAATCTCTTCGGATTATGCTAGCAAAGTTTCACGTATAGTTAGTATAAGCCACCCGTTGATGTTGATTGTTATCAGGGACGTACGTTTAACCGGAAAATAATTTCGGGGTTTTTTAATTTTGAAATCTTCTCGATTTGCATTGAAATTTCAACACCAGTCCATAAACTTTTACGATTTGAAAAAACGTGAACTTAGTATTATATGTTTTAAGGGTGTAGAAAACCGTGCGTTTAGTTATGTATTTATATACATATCTTTAACAAATGACAGAGAATAATTTTTGAAGATATTTCGGGAAGGGGGGGGAGGTAAACCCTCTAATCACTCCACCTTCGGTTACGTCCACCACGTCCCTGATTGAAATTTGGAATATTAGCCCGGAACAAAATAATCATAATAATTATATAGTAATATCTATTATAACAATGCGTACAAAAAATAGTACAAGTTCGATCGTTATTTAATATACATGACAGCATTCATTCACTTTAAATTAGTCTCCCATTAATGATAATTGATCGCGATAATGTGTGTATTCGTATCGCAGTTCAAACGTTAACAAAATATCGGCGTAGAAACACATTTGTTCATACGAAATTTCGATGTATCAGCGGACAATATACGTGCGTTAGTTCGATTCAGATCCGTATATTCATCAATGGGGTGAGGACTATTCTGGATTTTCGATTAATTAAAAAAAAAAAAAAACAATTGAAATGTAGAACCTATTTAAAATCGTTATTAATCGAAAAGAATTTTTTTTTTTTTTTATGACTGGAAAAATGCTTTTTTCGAGGAGGAGCGGCTTCTTCGCCAAGCCAGTTCTGGAAACGGTTTTTTGAGAAAATTTGGGACTGGTATTCTTAATTGGGACACGTTGTTTTTGTTTTTTGTCATCTCGTTTATTCAATAATATGATATTGTCGGGGTAGAACGAGTATTTGCGGAGGTGTGACAGAGGGCGGTGTCCGTGTCGTTTTTACGGGCGCCCACGAGTAGCGAATTCAGAGGATGGACAGACCGGATTTATCGATCGGGTGTAAAAAAAAAAATGTATTTATTTACCACCCACTAACACAATAAAATTATTATTCGTGTACATCGTGGTGGTTAAATTTATTTTTTTTGTTTTTCGTCAACACGATACCTAACCTTAACAGTGGCGGATCGAAAACATGAAATTCGACCGTGGACCCGCAGACGGGCTGGAGAGGAAGGAGCGGGACGTGACGCAGTCTTTGTTAAAATAATGTCTGGTGACGACGACAGAGGGACACTTGTTCACCGTCGATTACGACGTTTTCCTTTGTCCGACGAGCTCGCCGTAGCTTCTACATCATTGATTACCGGGGTCGTATTCTTTCCGACCGACACGCGGAAATGTCCGGACTAAAGACAACGGCATTTATCGAGGAAATTTTTACAGATTATATCGCGTAGTTTATTCAATACTGAACACTTGTATATTTTCGAAAACCATCCCAATCGATTTGTGGACATTTTCTATTTGTATTTAAATGTATTCGTATCGCCTTTTTAACTATATCATTAATGATATTTTATATAACTATACTGAAACTATACACCAAATCTGATCGAGGTTTTCACATTTTAATTTCGAACACATATAGCGTGCAATTATAGCAACCCTGGTAATAGATTCTGTACATATCCCCCCCCCCTGTCCGGACAGTTTGGATTTTTTGGTAAGGAGTTTTGGTAAGAATTTTGTTCTGCAAATCATATTCGATTATGTATATTAATATGCGTCTCTGCTGTAGTCCACGACAATAAATAATACATTAGATTCTGCAATATCAACGATCGGAATCAAGGGCAACACTGTATAGTATTTCGACACCCGCCCACCGGACGACGAACCTACAAAATCGAAACCCGGTTGACATCGACAATAATTCCCTCACTCGCCGTCGTTGTCGCCTAGGTGTCCGTACGTAATAAATTATTTATATCAGTATTATTCTATACTGCCAATAAGACGGGAAGTCGGTATTTGTAATCGAGTGATTTTATTTATATACGCAGTTGATAAATCCATATTATGTTCTAGCTATGCTATTGCATCATCGAGACAAGCTATACGTCACCATCGTCCGGTGGTAAGGCCAATCCCTTTTCTTCCTTCTAATCTCAGTTAATGGCTATGTTAACTAACATACCCAGTAATGCATGTAGTTGTGATAGGCGTCACATAGAGTCAAAATTCTGCGATAACAAAAAAATGACATATTTGGAATCTGTTTATTTTTTGAAAGTAAAAACAATTGGTGCGTAGGTGTTTCGTTTGTAAATAATTCGCCCCCCCCCCCTTTGAGTGGAGCAATGACAACGATACATGACAAGTATATTTATTGATTTACAGATTATTTTTTACTCTGAGATTCATCTTAAACTGTCCACATAAAAATGACGTGTAACAATGGTGTGGACTGCCCGTGAAATTAAACGTCAAAATTAGCAAGTAATTACGTGATAACATTTTTTTCCACCCATTAGAACGCATAAAATATGTTTACGCCAATATAATAATTATTGTGCATAATTTTAATTTCTGTAGCGATTTTGATTTATATTACCTATATCAATCATCATCATGAGCAGTGTTTCAGAAAAATTATTTCTGGCTTTTAATGTTTTTGTTAAATATAGGTGTTTCAAATTTTATGTTATCCAATTTTCCACGTATGTAAAAAAAATATTATCTTTTGTAAAAAATTACCTAGTCCTATTTTTATTCAACCTCTTTTTTATGAGTAAAACCACTAACCACTTGATTTTCAATTAACAGCGTATATTAAAAATTCCATAAATAAATGTTTTAGCTAAAATATTTTTTGGTGTTGGAATGTTTAATTTTTGTCAACCCGTTGACGAGATATTTCATTTTTAAGTTCGGATAAGAGGAGAATTATAGTGGAACACTATATTCAAACGCCCCCGAGTGCCGCGCTGTGAGACAAATGATACTTCACTACTCTCCCCTACACCCAAACGTAAAAGTAGAATGTCTCTTCAATGGGTCGACGGAAATTCAAAATGTATTTAAACTAAAGTTTCATATATTAATGGAATTTTTAATACAGGTTGCTATTTGAAATCTAAAAGTGGGTACCTAGCGGTTTCATACCCAAAAATAACGTGGAACAAAGTATAAGGATAATGTACATTTTAGAATATACGATTACCAAAGTGTTTACTTAAGTTATTATTATTGTTTTTAAATAATTATTTCGTGGAAAATCTGATTGTAACGTGAAATTTGAAAGACGCATGTATAATATAAACATATTAGGTTTATAAATTCCAGCGATTCTACGATAAATAAACGATTTAAGGCGGCACGTGTAGTAATTAAAACGATAATATTTTAAACGCCTAGGTGCCTATATAATAGTGGCGTGTGTTGATTAAGCGAAATTTCGCTCCGAATAATTTCAAACGGCCTTTAACGTTTAAATTATAGCCTTTATATGGGCGGGTTTACATTAGCTTATTCAAACCTCATTGAAGTCGATCCGTGAATTTCAATTTAAACTTTTCGCAAAGGAAATTGAATATAATTCCTAAGCAAATCTGTTACCTATATTATACTGTACGCGGCCCGGAAATAGTGGACTCGATGAAAAAGTTCACTAATTATTAATGAAATGTCAAATTTCGGGATAAAAGCATATCAAACCCGCGTGTTAAATACAACTCGTATAGCGAAATAAATTAAACGAAACCGCGCAATCTCGGGGTCGTTCACCTAATCGCGCATCAATTCGACGTGGAATCCTTTATAATGTTGCGTACATTATTTACCCATTAATGATGTACTTTTACCTGACTTTTTTTTGTTCTACAAAAAATATTTCAAATATTGTTCAGTTCGTTCGGCGCGCACTTTATTCTGTTACACTTGTAACTGTATATTATAGTTTTGCAAGTTGGGTATCGCCGGATATGACGGAAAACCCTTTAAATATGTCTGCAACCTCAGCGGTCTTCCTTTGTTTCGACGCAACACAATACGAATCCGTATAGACTTCTGATGTAGCTCTATAAAGCGCAAGTGCACAACAATAATATACATGCACACGACTGTTGCCGCGTTGTATAGACGTAAGTCCCGCGGCAACCTATACGGGTACACAATGTAGTATCACATTATACAAATATAAATAGAGACAAAAACAAAAAAACAAAATACAAAAAAACAATAGGATACGTACATACATAATAGGGGTACGCTATTGTATGCGTATTGAATGCACGTTTACGTGTGTACACCATGGGACGGGGGGGGGGAAGAGCTGTAAAAAATTGTCGCTTAATGGGGTTCGAGCACATAAGTTCAATCAGACGATCTTTCCGCCTTAAAACAAAATCGCAATATTATTATTGTAATATATAGTTGGTGGTGTTACGAACAGTACGAAAGTCGGATTGAACATTACTGTAAGTGATCAAATTGCACCTGCAAAATATACACAATAAGACCCGATTTGGGATCTTTTACTTTTAGATTTTGAGCTATCAGTTTAACTATAAGATGTGTTTTCTCTAAAAAATTATTATCCGTTATTTAAAATGCTCCGAATTTGTCTTATTTGCCATAATTCAAAAGATGCGGATTTTTCGTCTGATGATATTTTATTTAAGAACATATTTATTTAGATTCCCAACAGTTTTTCTAATACCTAATTTTACTGAAAAATAAAATTCTCATCTACAACCGGGATCCACCTATGGTGCGAAGTATATCCCGCTTTTTAAAGTTATGTCCAGGATTATTAATTCAAATAAATAAGGGTTTGCAACTTCATTATTATATTTTGATAAATATAACACGTATAGCGACGACCCGCTAACCGCATCCAACCGAATAATGCGGCGGCGATAAAACCTAAACGCGTGATTTTTCGCCAACGCATTGACTACGACCGTGGGAATCCGAACCGGAAAACTAACGTTTGTGTTTATATTACTATATCTAATCACGTACCCATTTTTTTTTTTTTATGTTAAGACATCCGGTATTTCGCAGCATTTTGTAAATTTACCACATTAGGCAAGTACCTATGTTTTTTTTTTTTCATAAAAGTATTTTAATAGGTACGTCAAAATTCTTGTGAAATTCTTTACATTTTAAATTCCATTCAAAATTATGGCTATTTCCGCGTTGTATACAAAACTGCTAAATAATGTTGATATAAAGTTTTGAAGTAGTCATTAAAAAATAAAAATACAGTGTGTTCAGTGTTTGTGTGATAATGCAGTGATTTGTAGTACTTAATTACCTATTGTATTTATTTAGGACTTTTTGATCCGCGATACAAATGTTTCTTATCTACGTCAAACTTAAAATTGTTAACTATCGTTGACAAAACATTTATTCGGTATAAAATTATGAAGTTTAGTATCTGCAATATATAAAATATTTATCTTGTTATGCATTTGAAAAAAAAAATGTATCGATAATATATAATAATATATTATTCAGTTTTCAATAACTGTAAATGAGAAAACGTGTCACTAAATATTAAGATCATCTTCCATCTCGCGATCTTCCTGCTGCATAAACCTATAATAAATTCACGAAAATAATCCGAAATCCTAAACCGCAGGGATCACAAAACTGTTCGAAAAGTCGACGTGAGTTTCTTTGGCACATAAGGGAAATAATTATTGATGTATAATTTATTTTTTGTTTACCCCGTAAAATTCAAAATATAAAACGTGAAAAATGTCTTCTTTCTCTTCGCCTTTATCCTACGCAAGTATTACTATTGTATTATCGTACTCCGTCCCTCCCCCATCCAACACTATGTTTGCATTTAGGTGCTCCATAATGCACATTTACGAGATAACCTCTAGTCATTTTTTATTTGGCCTCACTCAACCTAGCCTTTTATATATTATATTCGTTACACAACGTATTTATCTTAACAATCTTATTTTTGTTATTTCAATGTTTAATATTCAGATCCTATACCCAGACTCCGTACTCAGTGTTACCATCACTAACATAGTGGTCTCATAATAGTTTTTTTTTATTGTTTTAATTTTCCTTCTATCGACTGTAAAATGTTTAGTTGCAATAGGTACTTATGCCAATAAAGTCCGTTATTATTTAGAACAACACAATAATCTGCACTTCAACTCGTACGAGTAGTCTTGTTTGGTTGGTTGGTTACCCATTCGGCCGACACGAGTTAATTCCACTGCGTAGTGGCGGTCGTTGTCGATATAAGTATAATAATATTGACAAGAAGACAAATAAAGAAACACGACCGCCGGGTACAAAAGGAAGATCGTGTATTATTATTATTGTTATAATACGTATTATATATTATGTACGGGGAGTTCAAAACAAAGGAAACGACGGACATTGCAGGCACATAGCCAGGTGGTCTACTGCGTTTTCAATGGGGAAATTATAATGGGCATCGCGTATTTTGTTTTTGATTATTTCTCGTGCAAGTAGTCGTGCACAGGTTGACTAGTGTTTTTGATTTACTTTTTTTTTCATCTCGACAATTCCATTTTAAAATCGATCATATTATTGTAACACATTCAATATTATTCTTGTTATTATTATATTTTTTATACAAGGCGATTCGTTTGTCACGATCCAACCATGATTCTATACGGAGTTTTGAGTAAACTTGATTTTGCTTTTTAGTTTTTCCATTCATTATGGAATCTTAACCAGGCCCACGACACTCCTTGTCATCCCATGTTAAATAAATGGGTGACCTTGAGTCTCCGAAATTACTGGTTTTATCATCAACAATACAAAACCAGTACAAAAAGTTTTGATAAAAATCTATCCCAAGCTGAATAGTAAACCAACAGACCCCGCGCTTCGCGCCTCGATTACACGATAGTAAACATTTCTTTTCGGCTCTTTTAGAATCTGAGTTTACACATACTAGTAGCTTTTTGAAAATCAATATCCTGCAAGCTGAAATGAGGGCCGGACTTTAAAAATTTCGTAAATAAGTTGGTTCAATTATTCTATATAATGTCTGAAAAAAAAAATCAAACCTAACTAAATATCTTTGTAAGTACCTATATAATATTATAATCTTGCTGGTTCGTGATAAAATAATTACGCGGTATATTTTCGCGCGTGCAGTGTGTTTAGTGTATTTAACTACCGGCATCGTGTGTTATTGCAGCAGAAGTCAATATAATAATAAAACAATAATATATTAAATAATAATAATATTAAATATTAATACGCACATGCAGTTGTATGCGATATGGATACAATGACCGCGTGTCACTCGGACGTATACGCGCAATAATTTTAATCTGTCCAATTGAAACAAGATGAATACACTTGAAGCATTCAAGGTGTCGTTTTACATGTGCTTTTTTTAATTGACGCGTAATTCGATAATCGATTATATAAAAAATTTAAAAGAATACGTGTTCTATGAAAACAACGACGCATCTCGTACAACGTTTTTATTGAGAACACTCTTTTTGCAATCGAATAAAATGATTAGATTTTTCCACGCAGTACTTTGAAAGGTACGGAATTTGTAAAGAGTGTAACCTAACTTGAACCGTTTTTGAAATATTCTCAAAAGCTCATCCCTTTAACCCGTTTTTCTTGGAAAACATTTTTCGGTCGATAAGAATGCTTCAAATTGTTCACATTGTGTTTTAAAAGATTTGCCCGGTGGTACTTTATTTGAATAAGATTTCTTGCATTGGCTTGTTTGTGTTGATCTCTGTGTTATCTTGACCATAAGGAAAAAAAAAACAGGACTAACACGACTTCAGAATTTTACCGAGCTATACGCTCAGAATCAATTGCAATGATTTATCGTTGTATTCAGTGTATAAACTAAATAACCTTGTGTACAATACCTACTAAACTTCTCCCCTGCAACATTGGCCTACTCATGGCGTGAAGCATGTCTTAATTAAAAGAAAAAAAAATGTTTCTTATTTATAACTGTGGTACCAAATATATAGAACTCTTACAGTTAGTACATAATATAGTACCTATATTGATTTAATAATAATAATTATGATCATATTATAATATATGGTTATTAATTAATATAAATATAATAGGTTTTTATTATAAATCGTTTTCGGCTCTATTATTTTTTATTGTGTATAAAATTTATTTTTATTCCTATGGTTCCATGTATTTTATACTGAAAAAATACTTTGAATTTTAACTCTTATGTCTGCGATAACAATGTTAGGTACTTTAAGATTTTCAATTTTATAAATTGTAAACTATATATTATATAGTATGTTCACTATTATACCCATCGTTTCTAGTAAAATTATTCTATTATAAATTCCTATCTCGTGCCAGTTTTTCCCTCGTGTGGAAAAATTGTTTTCAATGTATTTTACAATGGGAATTGTGGTATACACAATATACGCCAATACCTAAAACGTGGCTTAAACCAAAAAGCTAAAAAGAATATGTAAACCTCTACGCATAAGCCTGATGAAATATGTTACGAAAACTGAATTCACAATGAAAATGTCGGATATTTTTTAATGGAACACCAAAGTCTCTTTTCTGCAGATTTATATTATGTTTTATAAAAATCGATATGAAACACACAGAATTAAAAAAAAAAAACATATTTTTTGTACTGATGTTGTTAAAATAGTTTTTTAACATGGCATCCCGACCTAGTTTTAGTATTAAATTCAATTTGTTCACGGGATATAGATACAAATGTATACAGTCAAATTCGTTTATAACGATGCCAAATACAACGAAGTTCCGTGTATAGTAATTTTTAACAATCTAGAAAACCAAATAAAGTTTTGCTATCGCACGTGTAATAATTTTGTTCGTATACAACGACGTCCCGGAAATTACGATGTTATTTTGAAACGAAACCGGTTCTATACTCTCCTATAACGATCTCGTGTGATTTTGTTTCGGTAAATAGCGTTATCAATACGCCAGAAATATTGCTAATTTTTTAAAAATATTCTATTGTTTTAATTATAAATAAAGCACTACAACTGATTATGTTTCGAAAGAAACATAGGTACATATAATCAGGTTATTATATAATATGTAGACACATACTTTTTTTTTAAATCTTAAATAAAATTTAATATGTACAATTAAAAATATAACAATAAGTAATACAAAAAAAAAAAATCAATGATTATTAAATATAAAAATACGTAAAATAATGTAAGTTTTTTTTTTTTATATAAATCTGGATATAGCGAAGTTCGGACGTACAAATTTGTTTCTCTAGGTCGGCGGTTCCTAAAGTATGTTCCGGAAACCTATTTTCTGAGGTTGCCGTGCCATGGCTATAAAATTTTGGGAACCGCTGCTCTAGGTCCCTCGAAAATCGTTATGGTATGTATGTAGGTATATGTATGTTGTATTGTATTGGGTAACCTTTTTTTTTTTTTTATTATTATTTATTTATTTTAAAGTAATCTACAGTCTATACAGTTTTCTACAGTAAGTAGGTTTGATAAAAGATGAACAAAAATACAATTAACGGCGAATCTTAAGATTAGGGAGGTTACCCAATGATAACGTCAAACCCAGCATTGGGTAACCTATACAGAAATGAACGTTGCAATGGATGTGACCTAATAAATATTTTTTCCAGTACTAACGCAATTATAACGCAAGTATATTTTCATATCAAAATACTATGCGTTATAATTACATAATTCGATTTGTTAATGTTTCGACGGCTGTTCATTAACGAAATCGGTCCGTTAATTTATAATAATTTCAGGATGAGGGAAATAATAATAATAATCATCGAAATTCATTTTCAACGCCACGCCGCCGTATAGCAGTAATAATTAATCATCATATATACTTGAGTTATTTTATTTTTTTATTAAAACGCTTTGTTTGGACTAAATTATAAATATTTATATATATATATATATATTATACACCAATATCATATCTAACTTTTGTTTAAATTTATTACAGTTTATGCATTAGAATAATATGTTGTTTAGTATAGAGTAGGTACGTAAATATATGCATAATAAAAATCGTAAATTAATAAACAATCGGTTTTTATTTTCATTATTATTATTTAATACTATTGTACCTAAATACTTTAAATCAACGTAATATCAAACTATTGTTCATATAATGTACTTTATATACAATATTATCATAGGACACGAAATTTAATCACGTTTTTTTGTTTTAATATACGTATGCACTTAACAATGTATTAAAATATATATTATATTATAATGGGTATAGTATACATAAGACGATTTCTGTAATTTTCTTTTTCTTTTTGATCACGAGTTTGAATTTCAATGTTAAATAACTTTCGACTCGGAGAATGCCATAATAACATATCGAGATCTCATCACGGACAAGAGTGCTCGTATACATTCGTTAAGTTATATATTATGCATCCACATCTGCAGTAAACAATAATGGTATCCATTTATATACGAGTCGAAATAAAATAAAACGATTATTTGTATTAAATACTGTAGTACGTAGGTATTCGATTTGTGTTATGTAAGAAAATTATAGGTAGTAAAATTATTTTTTAGTGCGTAGTACCCAACACAAATACGTTTAAAACTATAGAAAACTGTATGTGTATTGTGTATCCGATTAAATATCATAATGGCGTATACGTGTTTGTGTAAATCGTACAACGCAATATACGTTTCTTTCGGTATCCAAATGCTATTTTTGCCATCTTTATGGTATAGGTACGCTTTAGGATTTACAAAAAGGTAAACAACGTTTTTAACCGATTATTTGTAGTAAGTTAACGTTTTTAAAAATCCGGGTCATTTCGCTTATAACGTATTCACGTAGGAAAACGCGTCATTTCGATTTGACATAAAATCGTTGGTTTTTCCGTCGCGTAACTTCTGTATAGGTACAGAGAGTTCGCTGTGTCGCATTTCGGCAGAGTCCTGAAAAAAATTGATCGGGTGCACATTACTACGAGTAAAGGATAAACGAGAGAAGAGTTTTCGTCCTTGGGCGGCGCAATAAATTTAAATGTGTATACATTTAAAAATCGATACGCGTGAGTCCGTGGAATATATACCACGTGTAACCGAAATAAAATTGGTATAGCATTCTATCAGCTATACTACTGCGTACTATTATAGAAAAACAAAAATTGAAAAAACACAACGTGTCGCGAATGCAAAATGCCCATAATACATACATGTTTAATGCATCAAAATATGTTTACTGCAAACTGTACGGGATTACTCATTAAATCCGAACGCGTTTATACTGCGATTACACGAATTAAACATTCAAATTGTGTGTTTTATTATTATTTACAGTTACACTGGATGCATTTGAACTTCATGTTTCAACCCGTAACCGAGTATCGCTGACGCCAGAGCACTGCCACCATGGTCAAGACGTTTCAGGCGTATCTGCCAGACTGTCACAGGACGTACTCTTGCATTCATTGCAGGGCGCACCTGGCAAATCACGACGAACTAATATCCAAGGTACGGTACTAGTGGTAAGTGGTGATTTAACGGGGAAAATTATTTTGGACGACCAACAGATATAATACATATTATAGGCAGAGGTAGTAGGCGAACATCAAGAGGCGGCGCAACAGACGATATATTTTATTATTAAGCCACACAACATCTGAAGTATAGAGGAGGTATATACAATCTGCGAAATATAATTTAATAATAATAAAATTATGACAATAATAAATTATATACTCGAATATATTGTGTAGATATATTATGTATCTTAACGTCTGCGGCAACGAAAAAAGTCGCATCTCTACTCGTCCAAACAGATTAAATACGATTAGATTAGATTAGATTAGATATAGTAATTGAAAAAAGTGAGGGACGAATGATACGATTTTTTTCGCTGTAGCAGTTGATATGATAAGAGATTAAAAGTCGGAGAAGTGACATACCTTACCATACCTTTTTCGTTGCGGTAGGCGATAATATCCTAGTTAAAAACATAGAAGAATATATTATTATAAATAAAATTTAAGTAGTATTTTCACGGTAAATTAACTCATTATCCGTATGCATGTTTACATTGTTATCTGTCTGTTTATTATTTATTTTATTTTACTTGCGGGCTATTATATAACTAAGATAGTGTTTTATACGCATATCTATATTTTATTATATGCGTCTAGTATGATTAATATAGTTAGTCGTCGATGAAAGAATATATTTGTAATAGTTCGTTTTAAAATACTCAAGATTTTGATAAAAAAACAGGACGCGGGAAGGCCGCTGGTATACATGAGGATATTGAAAGTTATAAAGATATAAGGTAATTCAGTTTATTTACTGAAAGTGACGATAAATCATTGCAATCAAAAAAAGATTCAGAGTGTAGCTCGATGATCTACAGGTAAGGTCATAGTAGACATTGTGCTTTTTCACTTGTAATCAAGATAACCCAAAAATTAATAAAAAGAAAACTAATGTATCATCGTGATTTGTTGTAGATTTTAAATTTTTTAGATAAACTATTGGAAATTTAGAAAAATGTTTCCATTGGACGATAAATCCACATCTTTTAAGGTACATTTTATTAACCGAAAAGTGTTTTCCGTGTAAAAAACACATCTTATCGTAAAACTATAATAGCTTTCTCGCTACATTCAGAATCTTAAAACGGAATTAACGGTGTATACGATTATATCTGTGTGTAATATAGAAACTACGGATTCTTTGAAAAATCAATAATCTGCATAGTATAGAGGCGTAGAGATGTTATGTAGTTTTTGTGTTCTGATAGTTGAAAACCCATATAAGAGACATTGAAAATTAAATTATACGTTCCTTCTAATAACAAGTGATACATTTTTAAAAATTCTATAACATTTTTAATCTCTTCAACTGCAGTCATTTTAATAATCTCAAACCAACAGTATATTTATTTATTTAAGTAGTCGTGAACAAAAGAATAATTCGACCGATACGAGCATCATGCATCGTGACGTATTGGTATAAACTAAAACTTGTGTTTTTCTGGAAATGTTTCGACCGGTTAAGCCGACCGAAATTCAAATCGTAAATTCGTTTTTTTTCTCATCCGAAATTATGCAAAGTGGGAAGATAACACATCGTTTACGTAAACGTAAATATTACAATATAATATTATCATGTATATAATGCCTGAGCACATAACATTATAATATATTATTTAAAGCCCACGGGTATACCCGTTATACCTACCTACGACGACTTGGCAAACGGAAAGGAAAAAAACTGATACACGTGCGGTATACCTTCGCATAACATATCTTTGGTCCCAGGGAAGAAAGGCTTAAGTCAAGTTTTGTATGATTTTAATTTTTCGTCTAAATTTCATAATAGTGATGTATTTTCAAAATTAATCCATTAGTGTATTAGTTTACGTATTCTCAAACTTTAATTCGCTTATATTGGAAACTGTACAAAATTGGCCGTTCTCCCTTGGGACCAAGGATATATAGCTAATAATGTAATATTCTTTCTATTAAAATTGATTGTCCCGAACTTCTATTCTGTGTCACCTTTAATATTCCCTACCGTCATACACGTTCATCGGTTCCATTCCATGCTTCTTTACCGTCACCTAATTACCTTCTCCATTCTCCAATTATCCGTCATACGCGCACCGCAAACACCAACTCTTTTTTTACATTAACTTTTTAACTTACCTTCTTCAAAATTATTCATTACATTATAATATGATATGTTCCTATACTTAAACATATTTTAAATATTATATATACATAACTCGGGTTAGTCCTGTAACATTTACAAATAAATAAATATTAATATTATACGGTCGTTATTTTAATTATTATAATTCATTATTTACTCTCCGGTCACTCACCGCGGCTTATCCAAGCAGCCCTCCACATCCAATCTTTATCCTCGCGACGACTCGAGCCTGACCAACGTTTTATTGTTAACTCCTTTTTAAACGGTTTTCTGGACGTTCCTGAACTCCTTGAAATAGTCCACTTTAGATTTCCCTCTTGTCCCGTCCGTAACCCGATACCTTATTGTATACCCCGTCATACCACCTCTTACGTCAATATAGCCGTCCTTTTCATACCATGATCAGACTATAGACTTCTTGGTTCCTCATTTTATTTTTAATTTTTTTTTTTTTTTCGTAGACTTTAAATTGCGTTTCTGTCCCATATCTGTAATTGCCGTTTGGAGTTTATTTATGTAAATACAGTTTTTTTTTTGAAAAATAATACAAATTGTCGGAGGGAAAAACCGTTCGCTTCTTCCTGTATATTATAATTTACGAAATAAGTCGGCACTCGGTCTATTATAATATCTCTCTAGTCGCTACCAAACAAAACTCTCCGCTATTGTACGTATACACCGCGTTGAATCCTATCCGTATTGCAAAACTTCTTATCGTGCGACGTGTGCGGTTCTAACCGCGTATGCCTAAGTCTTCGCCGTCGTATAGTATACGTGCGTTTAATAATATAACCCACACGAAATAATAATAATATTACGTTACATAAACGCGCACACGTGCAGTGTTCGCTGCACCGATCGCTCCCCTCGCATATTATAATCGGATTATACGCCTAGAAAACTGTTGTATTTTTGTTCGTTTTTTTTTTTTTATTCGCGCGGCGTTGCGCAAGTTCCACCGAAACCGCCGACGCGGTGCTCCGGTGACCCGTTAACGCGCCTAATAAAAAACCCGACCGCGCGAAGAAACGTAAACTAATGATCACACATATTAGCCGGTCCCGAGCCCGTTAAAATCGTTACCGCCGATCAGAGAAGAAAGAACGGAGGGGGTAGGGGGAGGTAGAAACAATAATTCAAACGCGATAATTGCGTTTGCTCGCTCCGTATCAGCCGCGTGGGCTTACGTGTAGTAATATTATATTATAACACGTGTCCGCCGAGTCGACGACGGAGAACACAAAGAAGAAAAAAAAAAAACCTATCCGTCTCCTCTGTTACTACTCCTCCGCGCGCTGCTGCAGCCGTGACGACACAGCCGCGCGGCGGCGGCAATAGTATTTTAAAGTTGTGTTCGTAGTCGTGTACGTACACAACGTACATGAGCGGAGGCGGCGGCGCGGTTGTGGGTCAGAACCAGAGTTACGGTAACGGCTCCCGGGCTGCGACGTTACGCAATAATGTCCGTCGCGAGTCGCCGTCGATCGCGCGTCCGACTCCCCCCTCCCCTCCTTCCCCCCCGTGGAAACGTTAATTTCGTTAATTCTCGTTTTTCCGAATTCGTTAAACTCCGGAACCGGCGCGGCAGGGTGTTGGGCGATCTGCGCGATATTTTTGTCCGCTCGTATAGGCCCTCTGTATAGACGTTACTTATCGGTCCGCGGCATTCGGGCTTTATTGATTTTTCCCAATAAATGGGAAAATATTGTGTATAATACTAAACAAATATTACTAAAGACAATATATAATGCATATGCAATTTTTTTTGACCATAAAATGACGTATACATATATTGTTTAATATAGCAACACTATCAACCGAATTCCGCTCAGAATCGCTTTTTCGTTCGACTTCTCATCGATAAAAGTGGCACACCCGTCCCAATTATCCTAGGACAAGCATTTCTTTCATTTTTTTTTTTTTTATAATATTCTGCCCGATTTCCATAACCGAATAAACACTATTCGAATACTTAGTTTTTTTTTCCTACAACCGAATAGTTTGAACGCGATCAACTATCGTATAGTAACTATCTTAACTTCAATAGTGTCCATATCACTGCAGTTTTAAACCCGTACCGTATAAAAATATGTGTTTTTATCCGTTTTTGATTCTCGTGATATTTTATACAGGTATATCTATACCATAATTTTGCATACATATTGGAATATTTTGTTCTTCCGTTCTCACGTTATAGAAACAACAACCCCCAGTACGTTTTAACGACGAAGAATATTTTCTCCGGTTTACCGAGAAATCGTGTTTTTGAATAATAATAAAAATATTAAATAAAACGCATTCACGTCACAATATATTCCGCTCGAAAGCTTTCTATATTTTAATAACCGAACGGTGATTTTTGGCGACGAATCTCTATTTTGTGTTTTTGTTTCAGCTGTATTTTACCCAAACTTGAATGCGCTTTTCCTCAAAGCGTTGCTTATTGACGTGTATATAAAATTATACATTTGCGATAGTTCTTTCGCCCGGAAAATTCCATTAAACGACCGTATTGCAACGTACAGGTAGTATAGGTACGTGACGCGCATTTTCACAATATTGTTATATTTAAGGGACACGAAAACCTTTATAACGAAAATTCTTTTTAAACTCGATTATAAATTATCTACGGAATAAGTTTTTACAATATATTATATAGGTACCGTTTTTTTATTGACCTATATATTCGAAAAATACTATGTTACTTATATTACTATACAGTTATATAGGATGTCCTACGAAGATACACCCATAGCAATATCTCCCAAGATAAAGGTCTTGAGACAAACAAATTCTATTTTTTTTTTTATTAATATATATTACTCTCAGGGTTATCCACTTAACTTAAATTGTTATGTTTTATAAAAATCTAAAAAAAATTATTTTAATTTTATTATTTTCGAAACAATTTAAAATAGCCATTTTATAGAGTTTATTATTCTGAAAATGTTGGCATTTCGATTTTTTATTTTCATTATATTCATGATTTTTAATTATTTTTATAGTTTAGAGAAAAGTATATGAAATTATCCAACAGGCTATAATCGCATTGGCTAATAATTAGCGAATGCAATTATTGATTATTATTATTATGGCTAATTGACTGTACACTTTTTTCTACGGAATTTAAAAAGTTGATACGTCAAAATTTTCAGAAGAATATAATAAACTCTATAAAATGGCTATCTTCAAATTTTTCAAAAATTATACGAAAACAAAAAAAAATAATTGAAATATACATATTATGTGTAGACCTTTTACATTTTACCTTTGAGTAACATAAAAAAAAAAACAGAATTTTATCAACTTTATTTGCTCCGGAGATATTTTAATGGGTATAAGATGTACCCATTCACACACGTGAAACACTTGTATAGGTACCTATATTAATGCCTTATTTCATTTTTGGTAATTTCAGTAACTTTTATTTTGACATAGTTTTTCTTTCTTTTTTTCGTTCATATTGATTATGTTATAATTCCGTTATTATAAAATCATATCACGTAAACTCAACTAATATTTTTCTCGCCAATGAAAATCTTCGTTTGCAAAACTTTCATACAATAATTTATAATATAATATTATATTATATCAACGCTAGTCTATTTTGAAGTCTATTCTAATTTCCGCCGTTTTCATTAATTTGGATATACACCTAAATTATACGAATAGAAAAATAGTTATTTATTTCATAATAAATGTCGTTGATTTTAAACTAAATCAATATTCTAAAATCATTGATAATAACACGCGTAATATATTATCTAATATGGCGTTCATGTTCATAATAATCGCGAGTACTTATATATTTTAACCGTCATTAGTAGGTCATTCCGATACTTATATTATAAACTCAGTACTCTATATTTTAATGCTAGATTAGGATTATATTTTACAATCCGGACGATAACCTTTTTAAATAACTTTAATTTTCTGATCTAAAGCTCGAAAAAGGAGAAGAGTGAATTTGTATACTTACAAGACTGTAACTGGAATTCAAATTTGAAAATCCAAATGTATTTAATATTATACACTCAATTTGTTCACGTTCAAATGTACATCATTGCCCCTCCCCCCCCAAGTTGTGGTGTTGAAATTTCAAAACATAATTCAAGTGTGTAAATATTTACCAAATATTGTTTAGGTCATCAAAATTACAATATTATGATAGCAGACAGGAAATATAATAATATAATAATAATTATATTTCCGAGGGAATTTCGTAGGGTTTTTGTTTAATCAAAATATACAGCTCGATACAAAAGATACAAAAACCTTTTTTTTTCTTTTTTTAAATAACTTTAATTTTTTAACTCAAAAAACACGTATAACATTCCCTCCAAAATATTGTTCTCTATACATTTCATAACATGTACTTTTACTCTAAAATCAATATTAAACTAGTTTTACTTATTTTCCGTAAGCATTGTTTTTGCATGTTACCCGGTAGTTGGACTGAGACAGTAGATGCGGGTATAACGTCTTCTTAAACAACGTTTAAGTAATTAGATATAATATTATCAGTGCAATTGACTAAAGGGATTTGAGTACGAGTTCAACTTTCCGTGTGTATTGAATTGTTGGCTATGGCAATTCAGAAGAGATAATATAATATTTAATTGTGAAAAACTCGACCTATAGTAATTATTATTGAATTCAATAATACATTTATAACAATTTATTTAACCACTTGTATACGTACAGGTACTGTAACGTATAACTTCTGTTCTGGATAGGTATAAGTTGTCGTCCCGATATAATATAGTCTGCGTGTCGGAAATTCAGGATACCTTTCTCCGTCCGCGCAATGATACGATTCGTCTTGCTATTTTCACTGTTAACATAAAACATTATATTGTTTACATACATTGTTTCTCGTACGTGTCTCGAGTGTTCTGTGGGTACCTTATCTATATAGTTATAATAATAGGTACTATTGTTGGCGAGCTCTTGTCATACCTATACGTACCTATATTATATAGAACCGTTCTCGTATCGATTTCTCGAGTTTTCCGTATAATTTAATTGTATACCGGTTAAAACTTTTACCTGGGTACTCGATTTTTTTTTTCCTCGTCACAATTTTAAATATCACCAAGTAGCTGTTATCGTAAAATATGTTTTGTGAATATATTATATCCGCGATATGCCAAGGACTGTTATATAGTAGTGTACTGACATTTCGGTACAACGGTGGTGCACATAATATGCTGTCTTTTAAAAATAAACCCAAGAAATAGGTCAAACGCCGCGGGAATCTATACTGGAGGTGGAGGTGGCACTTCACATTTTACTGCGGTGTACGTCGTAAACAAAATGGTTCTTAATGTCTGCTCCGCGTAAATGTGTTTACAAAAAGTCTGTTTTCTGTAGTTAACCTAATTTTATTATTATTATTATTATTATTATTATTATTATTATTATTATTGTTATTATTATTATTTAAACTTCTAATAAATCCATCGAACGCGCATTTCACTATAACCTACTACTCGTGAATTATGTTGACGTTTTTAATATTAGAACATTTTCTTTTTCAGTTTTGCCATTCATAATATTCGTGAAAATATATATGGAAAGTTTAACTCGCAAAACCGAGAATAACACCTAGAATATAATATGATATCAGTCGTGCATAGAGTTACGATGGAAATGGTAACGCGTTTACAGTGTACTATTACAACCACAGTATTACTACTGTATATACATCGGTGTTGTTTTTTGGTCTTGACGATAATATTACGCTGTTATTATTGTTTTAAAACGCAAAACCTACTCGGTCAACGCGTTAGATAGTATTCGTACAATCGTAAAACGACAATGGAATTAATCACAATATTGTACAATATCACTATTATAATGATATTAAAACACTAATATTCGATTATTATAACGAATATTCATCGAAATTTGACCATACGGCATATTATTACGTACTCGTTATAACATTACCGTGCGGTTAAATTTGGAAAAACTTCGAGGAGGTGGGGCCGTAGGGGACTATATTAACCAAAAATCGAGTGGTGTTTCCGAGCACTAACTAACAACCACGGTTATAAATATATCTATATAACCGTGCTAATAACCTAACCAAAACGATCAGAAAATCCACGGGGTCGACGCAACCGACGTTTTTTCTGCCGCACGCATTTGCCAGGGCTTAAAAAAAAAAAAAAAAATATTTGCTCACAAATTACCCGCTTAGTCCTACTAGGTAATATTAAAGTAAAACAGTCCGATTTTATACTGTCCATTTTTAATATAACTACAATATAGTAGTAGTAGTAGTACTACTATAACCTAATTTTTAATATATCTTGAAAAAAAATACATAGTTAAATATATTAACATAATAATATGTTTTACATCACAAGTTTAACAACTCTATTTATTTAGATTCGATCGAAAATGTTGGAGGGTAAAAAATTGATACTATAGGCTTCCGAAAAAAAAACACCCTAATACACTAATAACAACTATATTTATTATTTTCTGTATTATTTTTCTTAAATTTTGTATTTTCCATTGATTATTTATTCGTTCTACGTATCACCGCGTTATAAGGGGTTCGGATGTTAATGGTCGCTTCGTCTATACAGCTGCACACAGCAATTTAGACATGACAAACAGTCCGATCGATGCACGTAGTGAGGCGATATGAACAATGCCTGAAAACAGATTGGGAATTCAGCGTATAGTGTACGCATTAAGATCGTTTACTTTTTTCGAATTTAATTTTCCCGCGTTTAACGCGAAGATTTCGATGTGCAAAAAAAAAAAAAACCAACAAACTGCAGTGAAATATTAAAGACGAGGGGCGGGCCCGACCGAATTCAGACGCGTTTTTGGGAACACTGATCGCGTCGCGAAATCGACCGGGGACCGATTGCCGGAAATACGGGTCCGAAAACTGCGGTCGGACGAACAAAGGCAATAATAATATTATCGACGCGCGATCCCCGCCATGCAATTTACCGTTTTCGATTGAAACACGCTCTCTCATGTCCCGACCGAATCGCGCGCGTAATGTTTTTTTTTTTTTTTTTCCTACGATATAATAAAATATCGATTGCGGTCCGTTCGTATATTCCGGCTCGGAACGGTTTTGCGGGGTCAAACGCGTGACAAACCGCTCGGCGCTATTATAATAATACCACCGGCTGCAAAAACACGCGGCTGCGGCTGTGGCGTGACGTCACTGCGGCGCAAAACTTGCGCCCGTGTGTTGATGTTTTTGTTCGTCTATCGACTTGTTTGTATCTGCGCAGTATTATTTTCGTGTAGCGTGCCCGCGCGCGGCCGTTTTCCGCGTCCGCGGCCTTTTCCGAACGCCGCCGGAGGTCGGTCCGGGCGTCCGCGGCCTTTTCCGAACGCCGCCGGAGGTCGGTCCGGGCGTCGCGGCGCTAAAACGTAATGTAACATTTTATAACACGTATAGATAATATTTTGTTGCTCGTAACGATTATGCGATAATATTATTATAATATATTTATATATAGCGTCGGAAACGTTAATGTACGCGCCACGACGGACGCCCGTTATGACGTTATACGCGGGACCTTTGTCCGTTCTCACAGGAAAGGTTTTTTTTTTTTTTTTTTTTTTTTTTATCTGTTTGTGTTCCTCCGACGTTTCGCCGACAATGTTCCGAACGGACGGACGGGCCGGACTACTGCGTTTTCGCGCCCCGATAATTTCCCCGGTCCGCTTGAAATCGAACGGTTTCCCGGATACGCGCGGCGTCGTCGCGACGAAACGCCCGGTTTCTGGTTTAAAACACATACGGTAACGAGACGAAATAATATTCGTATCGATATCGAACGCGCGTAATAAACTTTTTGTTTTTTGTTTTTTTGCTTTTAATCGGTCCGACGCGTAAAAATAATAGGCGCTCAGCTCCCGTTTCGCCAAAGTTACAAATTACCACGGATGGGCAACATAATGAAAATAATTGACTGTTGAGTTCATTCAATTGAATTTCCTTCAGTTAAAAAATTAACAAAGAAAAAATTCAATTCGATAAGTTTCGAGTTAAGATGGAAAATAAATACATAAACAAACGAATGCGTCAATGAGGAGTATTATGAAATGTGTATTGTACGACCGGTTTTTAATATTTCCAAGTCCGTATTAATATCAAAGCTTGTCATTGTGATGGTTATTTTCTATAACACGGTTAGCGAAACTTGAATTAGGTCTTTTTTGTTTTATCATTTTAAAGTCAAAATGGAAATCAAAATTAATTATACTCAGTTATAGGAAAAAATTAATTTTTTTTTTTTTTTTCAAGCTACGATATCCACGCCCATAAATCGCCCTTGTCTTTTGATTTACACGATAATTATTACAATATCAACGATAATACCCAGGTACCCACCAACAATTATTGTTTCGATTATGTCGTTGTCCGGTCCCAATACGTTCACCGTGTCCGCCGTCCATTGGCTGCTGTTACTAATCACAAATTCACAATCGTGTTTTGAAACAATAATAATTCGACGAAATGGGACGGCGGCAATGTAGGATTAATTTTGCCGCGGAACGGGATAGGCACGACGCACGTTATTCGTCGGTTTTCTCGGTTTCCACCGCGAAACATTCGTCGTCCGCCACAACGGGAAGTGACCCAAATTTTTTTCCGGGACGTTATTGTTTTGCCCGTTGGAAAAGGTTTGATTTATCGCCGCAAAACACCTCGCGAAAAACGCGCGTTCGTTTCGCCATTATGTTACGTTGTATATTATAATGGTATACATAAATATTTATATTATCGTTTCGATTGCGTCGTCGAATAACATTCATAATATTATTATTATTATTATTGTTACTGCAAATATTACGTTTGTCGTATTTTTCCTTTTTTTTTTTTTTTTCAACTACTTATTATAATATTATTTGCTGTGTGCCGATAGTATTATTATAATTTTTTTTTTTTGTCGACCTACAATTTTATTTTATTGTTTTACGACGTTTTTTTAAAAAAAAAAAACTCTGAATGTTTGAATTAGATAAACGCCACACTACGTATCAAAACAGATTGCACAGCCGAAACATCGTACAGAATGATATTATTGTTATTACTATTATGGTTTTAATTTGTTCAAACACTGTGAAAAATAAAAAATAAAAAATGTGCATGTGCAATTGCACGCGTTAATCGTCCGATCGGCGTCGTGTATATGTTACGTACACACGTCATAATCGTCGTATTATTATTATGTGTGTACCAACAAAGCGATTTTTTTTTTTCTGTGTTAGTCGATTTGCCGCGTCTTTTCCTTCGATTCGCTTCCTCGAGACTAATAATTATAATAATACACGCATAATATTTATGGTGACCAGACGTACTCTTTTTCGTAGGACAGTACTCTTTTTTGATGCATTGTCTTACACGCCCTTAACAATGTAGTGTAATTAAGTACACGCGATCGTACTCACTTTTTGAAAATATTATGGGCTAATACGTGTTTATGATTATGCATAATTTGATTATTCACTTATATTTTAATATTTAATCGTTCGACCTGATGCATTCCAAACGTCTGTGTGTGACCGACAACGGTTGTATTTATTTATTTAAACGTTTGCCTTTAAAAATTAATTTAAATATGTATACGTTAATTTTATTTAAAATTACTAAAATTCCAATGTATTTTCATCAAAGAAAGATACACAAGTCAAATGAGTTGACATTTTCAAGTAATTCGTTTTTATGGTTGATAGTAGAAAAAATAATAACAGAGTAATCAGATAATAATAAAAAAAAATGTACATAGATGAGCTATGGGCAAAATGGGTAAAGTATAGTATACGCATTGGACAGTTCTTTCGAGGAAGAGGGTTTTTTTTTTAATAATGGAGGACCTTAATTATAAAATGTACATTTTATTTTTTTGAGTTTTATATCTGGTCACTGTTATAATATTATACGGAAACATAATATTTCGAACAATGCGCTCGGTGCACTAACTCCGACCGAAAAGCCGTTTTGATAAAAAAAAAAGGACCCGGAATCACATGTTATAATAATAATGTTTAATAATCTTACAAATTACAATATTGTTATTTGCATGCGTAGCCGTATAGATTTTCGTTAAAAATTAAAAAAAAAAAAATGATCGATCGTACTCCAATAATAATACGAGCCTATAAGAAAACCAAACATTTCGTATTTTATCTTTTTTTTTTTTTTTTAATATTATGTAGCCGTACGTATCACAACGATAAAACAAATGATAGTTACCTACAACAGTCGTGTTTTAGATATCACAATGGATATTCGTGCGCACATGTGCGCGTTGATATTGTTTTTATTTTCATATGAGAGTATATCTGCGCATAAATATCGCGTTTATCACGAACATTGTTATTGTTGTTTTTTTTTTTTTTACTTTTATAACGTATAAATTGACGTAACATTTTATTCGTTTTATTTCCGAGCGCAGTATTGATATAATTGGGTATGTAATGCAAAATTTGCCGTACGATTTGTTTTTTTCCGTCCGTTCACGACTTTTCTATTAGAAATATCGCTCCGAATTTCTAGTATACAGCGTATTTTCTAATATAGCATATTGCATCTATAGTTGATGCGTTGGGAGGTTGTTTTTTTTTCAATGTAATCGTAGAGACCTGAAATATTCACAAAACACGTTCTGCAGATATTGTACTATTCTGAACGTGGTAAAATTTTCAACAAATTGGCGATTTGACATTTTCTAGGTTTTTTTAGTGTTCAGTGTTTATTTAGTTTCGTGTGAATATTGATGGTTTTGGCCGATCAGAAATGCTAGATTTTACATGGAGTTCATTAATAGAAATACAATTTAGCGTGATGCAGTTGTTTTTTTAAAGCTATTTTAAGTTTAAAGTTTTTACGGAAATCAGCTTTTTTAATTGATTATTAGAAAAACTATTAGCAATCTAGAAAAATTGATTGAATATAGAGTACCTATCACCGAGCGGAAAATTGATACGGCGTTTAAAAATCTGATCATTTTTCCTAACCGAAAAAAGCGTTTTCTTAAAAACAAACATATTCACTGTACAGAGTGAGCCATTTAAGTAAGTACACTATTGATTTCTCGGAAAGTGTATACTTTTTGAATTTTTTTTTTTTATGAAAATTTATAAACAGCTGTTCTAAAATTTAACTTTCACGTCATATTTTTTATATTTATATCGGAGGAGAGTAGTGGAGCATCATTTGTATGGCGTGTGGCGTTCTAATAACGTACCACTATTCTCCCCCGTACCAAACTGAAAAGTGAAATATCTCGTCAACGAATTGACGGAAATCAAAAATAAAAACACTAAATCTAATTTAATCTAATAGTCCATCTGTTTATGGGATTTTTCAATATAGGTTGCCATTTGAAAAATCAAATGTAGGTTGTCGTTTCGCTCTCAAAAATTAAAGTGAATTAAATTATTATGAATGTTAAATTTTAGAGCAGCTTATTTGTTAAATTAAAAAAAAAAAAAAAAATGGAAAAAGTACCTAAATACTTTTCGTCATATCGAATGTGCCCACTTAAATGGATCACTCTGCACATATTTAGAAATACTAAAATATAGGAGACAATACTAGAAAACAGGTGCGAATATACTTCGAACGCCTATGGTATAACTGTGTAACTATATGCGACTATATGTAAAACCATATGTATATTATATAATATTATGGGCGATGTTTCGAAACGTGCTTTATTTTAAATTGTACTTATTATCTATCATTTATCGGAACAAAACAAAGAGGCGCACATTTGATAACGTACGACAACACACGTCGTTGAGTTATATTATTATTTTTTTATGTAACCTATATTTTAAATCGTAATTGAATAATCGTATTTTCCATTTGATGTGTTGCTATACACTTGTATAGCATCACGTCAATAAAAAATTGTGTCATAATAATATCGTATCTTATCTCCTATATTATTATTATTATTATTATTGAACTTTGCGGTCGTTAAGTTATTATTATTATTATTATATTAATATTATTGGTTTTTGTGTAGCGTACAAAACTATATACTCGTCCGCGAGGGTAATTACGACAATGATAATATTATAATGATTATTATACGGTGTTGTCGATGATAATGATGATGACAAACATGGCAATAATAATAATAATAATAATTGTAGACGTTACGAAATTTTCCGCGTATCGATTAATATTTTGTACACGACCGCGTGGTACAATGATTATAATAATAATTTAGGTTCAATCGATGTTTCTCGAGAGTATGCATGCATAATATCTGTATAGTAGTAAAACATTATAAACGTACACTACACATGTATATGTGTGTAAAAAAAAAAAAAAATTGAAAAAAATCGACTAATACAAAACAGCATGTCAATTATATATATTAGCCACGCGTGCAATACTATTATTGTTATAATCAGTGACGTAAAACGGTCATAATTTCTGGTAACGCGGTGAAATATTTAATTATTCAACCCACCGATACACCGAATTTCTCGGTGAATGCCCCCTGCCTATAATAATGAATTAAGTTCTGTCTCTAACAATAATTTTTTTTTCCTCATAAAAAGCAAAAATGAAATCGTGTCGTTTTTGCAGCGAAAACTTAATTGAGTCGTTACCAAACATTATGTTTTAGTATGGGAGGTGAGCATAACAGCGAACAGATAAGACCAGCGGATCGAATTCACGCGATTCGGGTTGATGTACTCGTTCATTTGTATTTGCCGCGCTCGTGGTCCCCGAACCATAAATTTATATCATCACGAAAATAGCAATTTTTTTGTCGTTTGAATGTTTAGGCGCTTTCGAAAATAGAAATTAAAAAGACGGATACACTTCGCACGATGGGCGGGCCACTGTTGTAGGTAAGAAGTTGGAGAGGTATAGAGGGGAACTTTAAAGTACATCTGTACGCAGCGATTAACCAATTGCTAACGAAAAATGATTATGACCCGAATTCGGTTAATAGTGTTGCTTTTTTAACAATACATAATATATATGTACGTCATATTATGGTAAAATAATTACATAATATTACATTATATATTTTCTTTAATAATATTTGTTTAATATTGTACCTATTTCCTCGTTTTCCCCCATTTATTGGGAAAATTCCTGGGGAAATCAGAAAATTTCCCCCCTAAAGTATCACCCCAGTCAGATTTCATTTCAGAACAAGTGTTACACTTAAAAATCGGAGCAAAATTGTCGGTAGAAAAGTTGTGCGCAGTAAAAAAACAATAAATAAAATAAACATCATTCAAAAACCAATACATTGCTCGCTCCGTTCGGAATCTAAAATGTATACAATTCAGTATATTGTACAAAATGTTCGAAATATTATTCCGGTGTTGCGGGAAGACAATAGTGCAGAGCCTCCACAACCAAGAAATGTGGCCGGTGCAAGTGGTCCATTTGTGCAGGCCAATTCACGCCACCGACACTTATTATATTGTGGTGCTCGTGATCAGTAGAGCACGCAGGATTTTTTTTTCGGGAGGGGTTGTGTTTATAGCAATTTCCTAAAGAGAAAATAGCACATATTATCAGTACAGTACTATCGCTATTATTGCCGAATGAACGATTTTCGATGAAATTAAATTGTATTTTATCCTGTGGTATAACATATACCAGTCTGTTGTTGAACGTAACACTTGATTTAAAAAAAAATGCAGCGAAGGAAGAAATTCCGGGGTGGGAGGGCTTGACCCCTCCCCTCTCTGTGTGCGCCGCTGCTCGTGCAGGTGAAAACACTAATTTATTATAATTTATAAGCGCTGTGTTTGCTTGTCATTCGAAAGCGTTAGTACATACTGGGCAGCTTACTCGGGCGATTTTGCCGTACGCGTCCAAAATGAGCGAAGCACGTTTGGAACGTTCGGGCCACTAACAAAAATGCGACCCGTTTGAACCAATACTTTTAAATGTCTATAAAGGCTCGTTAAATAAACGTTCGGTTAAACTACGAAAACTAATTTTTAAATTGAGTGATAAGTAAATTATTTAAGTTTGCATACAATTTGTGTGTATAAATTTATTTCAAAAACGTACCGAAAATCCAGTTATATTAAATGTATACCTATATCGATTATCTTTAAACGACAGATATCTGTGGATCGGGTCGTTGTACACGATAATATCGCACAGATAAAATACTACTATATAAAGGCACGCTCAATGAACGTTCATTTAAACTAGTGTAAGGACGATTATGGTCCGAACGGGTCCTGCCCGTCCAAAATATCGTATCACAACTCCCGGTCGCGTACTCGTACAGTTTATAATAATCGGTATTATTGTTGTTATTGTGGTTATTGTCCGCGAAGAGGACGGCGGCTCGGTCGTACACGGACCAGCTCTTCCCCGCCACCTGTCACGGATCTCCGCGCGTTCTATACTATCACCCGATCCACGGTGTTCGCCCGTCGTCGTCGCCACCGGCTACATTCGCTTTTCCCGGACCCAATTCGACCGTGGATTTTTTTTTTTTTTCTCTCAACCGGTCGACCTCCAACTCCCGTTACCCGAGCCCGGCCGGGATTGCTCAATGAGGCGGAGGAGTCAAATATACAGAAAAAAAAAAAAAACCCTCCGCCGGACGAACATTGCGGATATGTTTTGTACGGATCGCCGCTGCTACGGAACATAATATTATACCGCTCGCGGGATACGTCGCACCGCCGTAGGCGGAAAGTTTGGAAGATAAAATATCTGTTATGATACACGGTAACTGTAGGTACGCGACGACGGTGAGATATCCGAATGCGCACGTTTGTCCCTTTCGGTAGCCCGATTGCGTACGTTTGTACGACTGCGTACGATTTCTGTAACTGACCCTAAAAATATATTACGAATGCGTATAAAAATGAATGGAACGTTGCCAGCATCCACAACTCAGTTTATTTATTGTAAGAATACAATTGTTATACGAACGTATAACATACGAATTTAGGTTATATTTTACCAGGTACTATTGAAATAAAACCAATAGTAGTCAATTAAAAACAAACATAATTTAATAAATTACAATGTAAAACCTTGGTATTGATAACCAGTCCCTGCAGAAAAAGTTGCTATACATTACCATCTATTTTAGATTGAGAAAATAGATGGTTATATTACATGGCGGTTATTTTTTTGGATAACTTTAGTGTTGGAATAGTAGTAATGGAAATATCACAATTACGTTTAACAAACTTTGGGTACCTTAAAGGTTAGTTAATCAAAGGTTTTTCCTAAAATAAATAAATTTACAAATTGTTCACAAATTTCACGCTAACGTGCAACTGCAACGTTGCATTAAATTTGGGTAGGAAGAACGTACGCAATCGTAACGTACCCCGTGATGATAGTAAATCGTTGCGGACGAAAAACGATTCTGAACGAAATTCGGTTAATTGTGTTTTTTAAATTAAGTCAACAAACAGAAAACTGTATTAATTTGAACCAATTAAAAAATAAATTACTTTTTTGTTTACGATTACCCCATTGTTTAAAATCGTAAACACGCCACTAACATGAACATTTATTTTTTCTAGAATTTATATTATGTATACATAACTAAAAATAACATACTTTCGAGATCACATCTGAAATTTTAAAAAAAAAAAACCATATACTGCAGTATTATATACCTTATACCGGCGGACTTAGTGGCGTTTTTTTGGCTTTTTTGGGGGGAATGTCCTGACTCCTGGCAATACTTTTTCTCCACAAGTATTAACATAGCTTCATCATGAATTCATACCTGATTATAAAATACCTTAAAACCTTATAAGTTGTAATTTGTTGTGAACAAATTTTAGGATTGCTACTTAAATTTTTGATTATTTTAAAATTATGACAGGAATAAAGTATAAACGATTTGACTGAATAAATTAAAACTAATTTAACACTTAAATTTACTGAGTAATTTCCCATATCAGTTTAGCTGATTTTGTATATTCGTATATTCACTATGTATTCGTGTAATACACATAAACCTAATATTTTTATCGTTTGGTAATCCAATTATTATTAATCCATGATAGAAATGTTCAAAGCAGTTTTAAAATATTTCGTCATTCGTCAACAATATTTTGCGATACTTCAGTAATGAATAGAAATAGAAAAAAATATTGGGGGTTTAACCCCCAGGACACCTCCTCCTAAATACGCCAAAGGCCGGCGGTGGTTCTACAACTCTTTTTTTATCCATGGCACCTTTTGGGTGTTTTATAAAAATAAATTTTTATCGATCAGGTAATTTCCCCAATTATAATTTAAAATATCTAAACCGGGAAAACATTTCACTATAAACCCGTCTCCATACGGACATTGAACGCTCCGGCACTAAAGTTAGGTAACGTTTCCGGAATTTTCTGTTCCAAAAGTTAGTAACGGACGAAAAATGTCTAATTGATTTCTGTGTACCCCCATTTTCTGGATATTTAATTTATCTTGAATTATTGCTCTTAAATCTTAAATAACTAATTATTTTATAATACCGGAGGCTGTTGCAAACGGCCTTTGTAATTTTAATAAGTGCAGACAATAGGTATCTGATATATGGATTCTTTATGTTTTCCATGATTTCGAGGCTCCCCTATAGGCTATAGTAGAAGTTCCTCGGTACTCCGGTTGAGAATCACTGCCTTGTACGCTATCGAATATTGTACAATGTATAGTTTTATTTTGATTTTTTTACTTACCGACCGTACAAGTGGTGGACCGTGTTCTTTAAAATCCGGTTTGTGTGTTTCATCGTTCGTCTGCGGGTAGATACTTAAACCATATAAGCCGTCGAAAATCATAATCAACGATACCTATTATTATACGAGTACCCATATCACGTGAATTCGGCGATTTGTAAAGTCCGGTAATTAAAACGACCGTAAATAATAAGGGGATGAATAAATCGGCACGATTAGGAGAAAAAAAAAACCTATCTCGGCGTTCGTTTCAATCCACGAACACTAAACTATTATTAATTATCCCGTATAGTCATCGTTCGATGAAAAAACACCCCTCGTTTCTGCACCGTGAACAAATTCGTAATAAACTGAAAAAATCAGATTTCCCCTATAGGTATAATTAACGCTACCGTTCGATTATAAAAAAGGCTGAGTGACATTTTTCCAATTATTCAAAAAAAATCCACTCCTATGGACTTTGATTTGTTTTTTTTTATTCTTTTACATTATATATAAATATATGCTTGTATTCGATTAATGAAAACCGATTGAAATGCATACGGTTTGAAAAAATGACGAATAACTATTGAATTACGCCGAAATTTAATTATCACATGTGGTGTACCTTTGAAATACATGTATACATGTCCATTAATCAAATCCAAAATTAAATTAATTCGAAATATATTGAACATTTGTACACCGATTTTATTCATGTCGATCACGTCTCTATATATACATTCTAGCGTAAATTGATTTAAAATTACTTATAATAATTCATTGTGGGGTTTTTTTTCAATTATTAATTTTCGCCGTTATTATATTATAGTAACAACCATAGAATTTATTCATTTTGGTAGGTAGTTTTTTTTTCCTTATAAAAAAAACATGACCGATCGTTTAGTTTACCATCTTTGTATTATCCGTAGATAAATGTTTACTCGTGTATAAAATGACGTCATAATATATAGTACATATAGGCACACCCGGAAAGTGTCGACGATATTGGATTTTCACGACGTCTAGCTATCATTATCATTATGAGACTTAACGAGCTGCATAATATAGATAATAATATTATGACATTATCGGACGTATCGATTCGATGGACTGACGAATAAAATAAATATTTATTCAAAACGTATATTACATTACCTTTATTTTATTTTTAACGGTGTAGTATTCTTATCGCCGGTGTTGATAATAAATTCGATAACGTGTGATGTTTTCCGTTCTCGTATAATAGGTACAACATGACGGATGATTGTGTTATTCAGTGTACATAACGTTAGTGCCGCTTCAACTCGGCTTGAAAAGTGATTTGTTACAATGTATGTAATAAATAATAATACTATAATAGCGTATAATATGCCCGGACTGATTACGAACCGAGTATTTATCCGCTGATAAAAATATGGAAACCGAGATAAAACGTTCGTACACAATATAATGACATTATGGTCTCGTACGAATATGTGGGTACCCGAGTCACGATTACTTTTTTAAACTCGTGTACCTGTACCGACTATACTTTCAGATGGCATTTGGGTACCCATTGTATAATGTTTAAAATATGTTATGAAGGTAAAAAAAAAAAACATTAAATTTGGTGTAATCCGTCTCTCGGTGATATATTTGGAAGAACGCGTCTTATACAAGTCAAATTGTCCAGCGTAATATTGGTATTATGTTAACGCTAATGTATATGAACATTTTTTTTTTTAAGGAGGTTTTCAGTGTCAAAATGGACACACAGTTAAGTTAATTTGACACGCCTGTAGTCACATTTGGCTTACTGTGTGACATGTGTTCATTAAAAGAAAAACAAATGGTTAATGATTGAATTCAATTTTCTAATAAAATATAATATTTTATATAGAAATTGATACTATCACAGCTGGTGGTGGAGAAACTGGGGAAAATCCAAAAATATATTGGAAGGTTTGGTTTATTTATTAGTTCGTAGACCTTTATTAGAGTAAATGGTAGTGAACACATCAGGGGGTATCCACTGAAAAATAACTTGGAAATTATATTCGCGGTTGTCCGACAAATAATTGGTTACATACTAACAATAAATCGAAATACGTTTTTGAATACCGTTACCATTAATTTAATTTAAAACTATTAATTTAAAACCATAATAATATTGTTTTATGTAAACCCATGTGCACTCGGTGTTTAAAATGTGTCAAATATCGAAATGCCTGCCCGATTTACAATCCCAATAGTTTTATGGTTAACCTTAAGTATAAATTGAATATCCGAGTATTATTTAATGTAATTATTGGAATATCGATACGCTTGTATGTAATAATATTTGCTCAGAAGTTTAAATAGTTTTATTTTCTATTTTTATTTCAGTCTTTTCAAGGCAGTCAAGGAAGAGCATATCTTTTTAATTCTGTGTAAGTACATATTATTATTATACACCGACTTACAATAATATTGTCCTTGTTTGTACCTTTGAAATAATATATCGATTAAAAATAAATTAAGTATTTCTGAAGTCCGAAGTTTTACTCGGCAATTTTTATACGGGACGTGTATGTACACCCCCCTCCCACCTTCATTATCGTTCAATAAAAGGTAAATATTCATTTTTATATTCATTTTCCCGTTTAGCGTAAACGTCGGTTGTGGGCCAGCAGAAGAAAGGATTTTGTTGACCGGACTTCACGCGGTCGCCGATATCTACTGCGAATGTTGTAAGACTACCTTGGGCTGGAAATATGTAAGTGTACCTCATATTATTATTATGTCCACAAACCACGCGCAATATATTGCTAAACAAAAAAACAAAAATATTTTGCAAAACGAAAATTTAAATTTCAGACTCGTAAAATATGTATAGTTAACAATTAAATAAGATGTTGAATCTATATAATTCTATAGTAAAATATATACAGTAAAACCGCGATAAGTCGAAATAAATGCCGTTCCCTTGCGAAAACCTCGATTACTCGAAAGAAAAACATTAAATACTTCAAAAATTCTGTGTTCCGAATGTAGACAGATAATTTTTATAACCATTTGTCTAATCAGCTTGCGCGTCCTATAATTTAACCTAATAACCTGTTACAACACAATTTTAAAATAATAATAACAATACACACTATAATTATTTTTACATAATATATACTGTGTGATAATTAAAAGCTATGATACGTACATACATTTTAAAAACTCTTTAAGTCGAATTTTTTTTTCCTAAAACTACATTTCCCTTGAATTCTGGCCTATTGATGTTCCACTGTACATAATTTTTAAATTTAACGTTTAACTGTTTCGATTTTTCACAGCTCATATTATATTTCCAACGTAGAATTAAATCTATACATCCATTAGTTTGTAATAATATAATGTACACGATGGACCCTATAATATCGTTAGGTGCGCCGTGTGTTACAGGAACACGCGTTCGAGTCCAGCCAGAAGTACAAGGAGGGCAAATACATAATCGAAATGGCGCACATGATCAAAGAAAACGGCTGGGAGAGTCCACCGAAGAAATGAGTGTCATAGACCCTGTTCCGTCCCTTTCTCGTCCCGTCCCCTCCACGAACATGCACCAAAAATATCCTACTCTCTATTTTTCTACCACCCCCTCCATTCTTCCCTCCCCTCCCATTTTTCGTACACCCCAATCTCGCCCATTAACCCTATCAGCCCACTACTCGCGCCGCTGTACATTTCTCCGTTTCGTTTGACTTCCGGCGTGTTTCTCACCGGACTTTATCGTTGCTTCTTCATCATGTCCGTCGCTTCCGCTTACAACGTCGAATTTTCACCGCCTTCGCTCACGTGTTTGCAAAATGTGTTTTTTTCGCCACGGAATGACACGATATGACGAGAGAGGCAAAACCCACTACTTATGACTTATTACAAATATAAATACAAGGTTTGCGATGTTTTCGGCGGCGATTTATTGTAAATCGTTTAACGCCGTCCGCTTAGACAGAGAATCCAACGGAAAACAAAAAATAAAAATATGTGTATTTAAGTATGGCACTACGCGGTGTATTATAATTTATAATACGTACGGACAGACGCGATCATCGACAACGGAGGGAATTCTCAATTAAACGGCCGAGTCTGTGCAACGTTACGTATGTACTATATTATTAGACTGTTGGCTGCAGTCTTATGATAATATATTATGTTACGTTATAGTGATAACTAATATTATATTAATTGTAAATGGTGTACCTATCTATATTTTAAAAAAAAAAAAACAAAAAAAAATATGTTATTAAGTATAATATATATTGTGATAATGTGATTTTAAGAGTAGGTATATTTTATTAAGTATAAGGTCGGCTCTGTATGTAATTCAATTACAACGAAAACAAAATTAGAGATACACACCTTTCGGGAGGCTTATTTTTACTACCTATATAGATATTATATATTACAATACTATATGACCACAAAAACGAGATTTATCGATTTTTTTCGTTGATATTTTATTAAAATAGTGAAAAAAGAACAAAAAAAAAATTTAATTTTATATAATATTTTGTGCTGTAAAAAAAAAAAAAAAAAAAAAAAATTGATACGCCTGTATTTTATCTTTTTAACCTGTTAAATGATATATATTATGTATTATAATAAAATAGGCTTAAAATACAGATAAATATAATAATAACTATATTTTCAACAAAAAATATATTAACACAGGGTTTCGTTTTGAATAATGTTATAATTTTCGTTGTATTTTGATTTCGTTCGTTTTTCTTTAACAATTTCGATCAGCCCGCAATATTGAAAGGTGTATGATTCGTTTTTATTTTTTTGTATTATTAATTTTATTATAATTGATCGTGTCGTATTAATATTCGATTGTTTGCCAATAATATATGAATTAAACGTTAAAAAAAAAAAAAAACATCCATTAGTACAAATTAAAAATTAAACTTCTTGATTTGCTACAGACACTACCAAATTCCCGAAAACGTGTGACACAATATTAAAATTCGTGAAGTTTAAAATCGTTAATCCGTGATATTTTTTTTTTTTGTGGTCAACTTACCTCATGTTTATTGTACATTGTATTCGTTGATAGATACAGTACTTTTATAAATAATAATACACAACATTCAATTCTTAACATTATACTTATAATATTATTATCTCGTACAAATATCTATTATTTTATGTACCTAGATTTTCGTGAATTTTACAAATCGGAGTATGCTGGGAGACACGGTACATGACGATTTTTATCACAGACCTAACTATGTCATTATCAATTTGAATTATATATTATATAAGTGAATACCCTGTATAATTTGTGTGAACTACTTCGCACTTTGGCGACGAGATCATAAATAATATACTAGTTGTATCTAGGTAATTGAATTTTAGCGCGTTCTTTCTAGGTATAGTAATGCATATAAGTCAAATTATATTAGATATTTCAAGAGCCAAAGTAATTAATAAGTATAATAGAAATACTGTATCCGCGATACATAATAATAATGTCACCACGGTATTATTTACATTAGTTGGTTTTTTTTTTTTATATAAAATTGTACTACTTTAATTCATTGTACTTAAACCATTCGCTGGTCTCAAAATTAAAAAAAAAAAAAAAAAAATAATCATTAAACTCTGAATCCAACACGCTATAATATTATGTTAGGTAGTAGGTCCTAATTTCAAAACTTCCATTTTATTTTTCATCGACTCGATTTTTTTCGACTATATAATATTATTATTTTGTATTTTTTTTTTTTTTATTATTATTAAAGTTCCTGTGAAAACAAAAAAAACTTTTCCACTTGTCCTTGACAATACTGATCTCAAAATATAATAAAAAATATTACCTATAATATGATTTATTATATTTTTAACTAACAGAACGGCCGGTGAGTTGTAAAAATATTTTACTTAAAACGTAAAATTATGCTGTCTTGAATCAATATGGAAATTAATGACACACAACTGCTTAGCTCAACTGTTATTTACACGATCACCCCGGGGATTCGTTTGTTAGAATTACCTGATAAATAATAATATCTAATAATGCAATTCTCGTCCTATATTTCCGAGCCACGCGTATCTTATAATATTGAACAATAATATACTTACTTGTCTAGTCTTCTTGTCATGGCTCGTTCAGAATATTATTATTATATTTTAAATCTGATCCGGAATTTACATGTTATTATTGTTATTATTATCATCATATTATCATTTTTATCAATCGACAAATCGATTTGGACAAGATTCAAAAATATTATGAATAAACAATACTAATAATAATGTATTTTATTGTTGTAATTCCGGTAATTTTAAAAATATGCACTCCTACTTGGCTACTTTTTTTTAACAAAAAAACTAATTAATTTCTTTCTCTTCTCGACTACCATGCCGACACTCCAGAGTTCAGAATAACCGACGACTATAATAATCTTGCAGATCCCTTTGTTTTCCATGATTATTAGACATAATATTAATATTATTATCATCATCCGTGTTTTTTTTTTTTTTTTAAACAATATTATAATAATATTTTGTCTATCTCTTTATCTAGGTACCTTTATTATTACTATTATTATTATTATTATTATTATTATTATTATTTTTTATTATTATTTAATACAATTTTAAATCTAGTCTAGTACACCTGTATAATATTATGTCATCAGCATAGTAATAAATCAAGTACTATTCGTCTTTCAATATATAGGTTTCACGTGCAAAAATTAAAAATAATTACATATTCTTAACGTATATAATTTTATAATATAATCGTTATTATAGTGAGATATTTGTGTTTAGGTATTAAAGATATTAATTATTTTAATATATTATTATATTGTAATTAATTTGGTAAGCACGTGTGTAAAATCCCATATTAGAACTTATTGGGTATTTTGCTGAATTTCAGAAAGAAAAAGAAACGAGTAATTACTTATAGCTTCATTTACATATTTTAACACGTCAAACTATAATATTAAGGTTCTACCGTAATCAAAGGCGTTAATTTTTTTTTTTTTTTTTTTAAATGTCATGCAAAATCTATAATATTTTGCATGTTAAAAATCACATAATGTGTTAAGCATTAAACATCAGCTGTTCATTTGACTTATTGGAAATAGTATTTTTGGTTCTCCGCTTCCGGTAAAATGTACACACGTTTTTGTTGTTTAAGTTTTAAAAAATAATTTAACATTATTGAGTTCTTTAAATGTATTGTTTTTTTTTTTAAATTTTATACTTAACATTTAAATGTAATGTTTATAATTATTGTATTAAGTTTCGATCTAGGAACGTTAACCTATTATTTTGAGTTGTGATTTTTTTCAAAATGTGTACGATAATTAAATAAATAATTATTATACGTAAATGTTGCATTGTAATTTGTGTTTATACCCGTGTAATATTTACGGAGCCTAGGTTTTCACCCATTTAAAGGCATACAATGATTTAAAGGGACTTGGCCACTAGTCACTAGGTACTTCTGTTATATTTTTCATTGTACTTAATTTTGCATATTACGGTCCTCAATATACACTCAATACGACTACTTATACAAAAATGTTACCATAGTAAATTATTATATTAACAGTACTTAATTATTTTCAAATGGCGTAAAAACATGAGAGTTGTTATTGACATATTTTTCTAGGACATTGTACCCAAAATAACCCGATCGAAAATGTTGGTGAGTGATCGTCATAATGCGTTATGGAAAATAGAGACGATTTAATTTTACATATAGATGAACCCGGAAATTAAATTTAGCACCAATGAGTTCACAAAACAAAATATGTACCTATATTATTACGGATTCCTACACATTTGTTTTCAATTATCGATCTGGTTCCCGGAAAGTCTATAGGTACACATCCGAATTGGTTCCCGGGTGGCATACAGGCATAGACTTTATATATGTGTAGACGGAACATTCACCCCGAAGACTGGGAGACGCGATCGATCAGAACGGATTAAGAGAGATAGGCCTGGTGTAAGAGAGAGAAAATTTGCACTTTGAGGATAGCCAATTAAAACACTCCGTTTATTATCTCACGTGTTTCTGTCCTTGAAATTAAACTCTACCTACCGGAACGCATTTTCATGCTGAACGTTCCATATAGATATATAAGTCTATGCTTACAGGTAACATACTAATTATTTCCGATTAACTGTTATTTTAATAATAAAACAGAATTACAAATCAACAACAATCTCCTGCCTATTTTACGCTTAGAACTATCTATAAAATCTACTTAAAAATCTTAGTCTTTGAAAATAAGTGGTGCTTAGGTGTTTGGACCGAACAATTTACAACGCTCTTTTGAGTTTGACGGATTTTTATTTCAAAAACGAAATTTGTTTCCCCTATTTTCCAAAATATTATGAAAACTTCTTGAAAAATTAAAAAAATGAACTCTCCGAATGCTCCGAATCTAAAATTGTATGGTGCTGTGTAATTTTTATCAGGAACCAATTTGTACTTTTTTTGTTTAGATCCAGAAACCAATTTTGTAATTTCCATTATTATGATTTATTTTCAACTTTGTAAAATATGATTATATGCAAAATGAATAAACCAACGAACTTTTGTAAGGTGTACACTGTGCCTAATTTCTAAATCTTAGCCTTGCTATACTACGCTGAGGATTCAAATTATAATATGACAACATGTATAATATCAATCATAATTCCTCACTTGATTTTGAATTATCTGAGTAAGTTCAATGACTATCATGCAATTCATCTGTTACGCAGACAATGTACCTAAAGTACGTCAATCGAGATAAAAAATATAGTATATAGGTTTGTCATATTATTATATATTATTAAAAAGAACTCTTCAATTTCACACCATCGATTAAACATATACATTTAGATATTTATTCTAAATTAAATTATTAAATTACTTACCAGTAAACGATCATAATTGCATTATTTGCCATATCAGTAATAATTTTATTTATAGTTTTTGATATTTCAATATAATTATGTATTTAGCTTCCTTTAAAACATTATTATAAAATAATATGATACAGGTACTTAATGACGTAAAATATCATACAATTTAATACTGATTAATAATTATTCTTGAAAGTTATTTATGTCTATCAAAGTAAGTTGCTAAAAGAAATTAATCGTTATTTTTTTTATACCTGCACGTGTTCAATGAATTTTTATACCCTAATATTATATAAAGTTAATAAATCTTTTTAAAGTTTCAACCGTATTGTACTCCGTTTATAATTGTTGATTATTATTATTATTATTTTTAAACTAAAATTTAAACCTTTATTCAGGTTAGAAAAAAAAAAAATGAAACTTCTTTAACAATTAGTAAGTAATAACTATAGCTGTCCCGCGCACGTCCTTGCCCGCGTACAATTTTATTCAAGATATTAATTATGTACAACGTAATAATTATTACAAGTATAGTAATATTCCTTACCGTAATTAATATACCATCTATATCAGTTTTATTTTTTTTTTAAATTGTTAACATAAGTTGTGACAACTAAATAGAATAATAATTAAAACTGTTTTTATTCGTGTCACCAAGGTAAGTCATACACAAAACTATACCTATTCTATTTTTCACATTATAAAACCCAAAATCAAGTGTCGTCATCGCAGTGAATGTCTCATCGAAATAGGTCTAGCCGTTTCCAAAATTAATCTGGACAGGCATACAGACTTCAATTTCGTGCTTTTTATCGCTACAGACCATCAAGTCGTTTTCATTCGTCGTAGCGTTTATTTAATAATAAATGCAAAGCTACAAACATTATCATCGAATATTTAGTGTTGAATTTCGAAGAAAAATAGTAGATGCTATCTGAAGTAATATCTGATGACGTTTGAAACATACAAACAAATATGTGATGAAGATAAAAAATAACACCTATACCTAATGGCGTACACAGAATTGTGTTCAATTGGGGGGGGGGAGATATAACAAATATAAATATACATAAATCATATAGAATCTACTCAACTCAACAATGGGAATTTAAAAGCCTGATTTGAAAACCAATTTTCAATGAATCAAGCTCTTCAATCTAACTTGACTGATATGTATGGTATACCTAAACATTTCAAGATTAAAATTATTAAATAAATACTCGCGGTTGTTTTATTAAAAAAGCTAATGACCACTAAATTCTTCCAGTTTACTACACCTCAATATGGCAATACTTTGTAATATTACCACGATGGACTTCGAAATATAACTAATAAAATATACTGATATAGTGTTAATAACATTTACATTTTACACGAAAGAAAAATATGAGTTGCTCGATGTATTGATAATATAAAATCGATATTTGGCGTTTAGCATTTACATCATAATATAATATATTCGAGTTTCGGTCGTTTCAAACAACAATTTAAGTCAATTACGGTGCACGTGTTATATAATCGTTATAATAGTATTTTAATATATTAACATATTTCGTTATATGGTTTTAATTTAGATAGTATGATTTTGTATACCTAGCATTTTTATTGACCTCTAAAATAGTAAGTATAAAATATATCCGTGAGCATGCCGGACATCAACCCCTCGAAAGGGTTTGGGGTTCCCTTGTACCTTCCCTAAATATATTACCATATATATTTAGGTAGTTATTAAACCTATAATTTGGCTTGTATAGTGTGACTAAAAATACTATACTATAAATAATAATAATATAATATATATAGTTACGTGTTTTTAAGTCTGCGACTCGTGGATCGAAACTAACGTGAAATTATTGTTTATGAGTTCCACTATAATATATACGGTATACACGTACAAAAGAAAAAAACAATGGGTAGGTTTTTTTTTTTTTTTCTAAAGGCTAAATATTTAATAACCATACAATTTAAAAAACTATAGCATTATACACTTCTTATCAGTTGTTTTATATTTTATTCGATAATTTCGAGTTTTACACTGAACGAGTATTAGATACCTAATCATTGTATTTTAATTTGTTTCTGCCTATCGATTTTATTAATAATAATTGAATCTTTGGTCCCAGGAATGGCGAGTCAATTTTTAGATTCGGAGCGTGGCGTTTTTTTTTTACTGTCTGTCGACTATTTATCTACCAGGAATCTTGCTCCAATTTTTCAAGTGTAGCACCTTTTCTGGAAATAAATATTACCTATTTGGTAAATTAAACAGGTCACTTTTTAATTTTTACTATGGGTTTTTAAAATAGTTGAGAAAAACCAGAAAGTAAATTTTAGATAAAATGGCGAATAATTTACAGCTATGAGCGCTACGATGTTACCGTTTTCATTGTTTTTAATTTTTGCAAACTATGTATTTTACCGAAAATATTGCTCTAATAGAAAAATGACAAGAAATTTTTAATTAAATTTTTAGTCTAGTTAGTGAGTAGGAAAGTCGTTTTTTGATTTTCTTTGTATTTTTATTAATAATTAAGAAAAAACGTTGAAAAAACAAGGAAATTACGAAAATAATGCTTTTATTATTTTTAATTTTGTTCTTTTGTTGTTAATTCACTTTAAAATATTCGTAGAGACCTGACATTTGGGCAGAAAACTTATATTTGTTTTCTCTAGACGTCGTAAAATGTTGAAAACATTCGAGCCATTTTTGAGATATTTATTATTCTTAATGTACCGATTCGTTTCGAATGTTGGTGATCATCATTGACATACGAATTTTGTTAGTGACACTTCGAAATAATTCTACAGAGCTTTTGTCAAACCAGGTTCTGAGATTGGCTAACCACGATGTTCTTCTTTTCCCAGGCGATCTTTTGCCATCTATTTTTCCTTGTAGAACACGTTTGAGAAGGTCATATCTTCACTTGTTCCGCATATGTCCCAAGTACTAGAGTTTCCTGCATTTAACTGTTGTAACTGATTCTTTTTCCTTTTCTATTCCACGTTATTCTATCGGTTCATAATATTCTCAACATTTATTTGTACAACCATAGTTTAATCAAAACATACATACAAAATTAAACTCATGGTCATAAGCAATGAAAACATTATCAGAGTTCATATAAGTATTAATCTAAACAGAATGGAAAGAGTGCATCGATACCTATATCTTGGCACCGTCATTAACAAACAATGGGACAATACGGAAGAAATAAAATGTCGCATTGGAAAAGCCAAAAGTGTATTTAATTCAATTAGTGTAAAATTCAAGAGCCACAACCTATCTGTACACATAAATATATACGACCCCTGCCTGAAACGTTACGTGTTCTCAACTCTTCTGTATTGCGCGGAAACATGGACCCTAACCAAAACTATGGTTGAGCCATTTACAACAATTTTAATCTTTCGAATTTTTTATGTAATTTTTATTTGATAAGTAGGTTAGGTTTCAAATTGCTGGTACAAAAGTTGTACATAGAAAAATAAAATAAAAATCATTGTTAAAACAATATATTCCTCGCTCCACTCAGAATCTAACATGTACAAAATTATAGCAAAATTATTATTAACGCAAATATTTACGACACGCCGCGGCATTACCGATTTCATTGTTTTTAAGTTGTTTAACCTAAACTACCAGAAATATTATTCCAATAGGAAAATAACAAAAGACATTTTTTTTCATTTTTTTATTTATAATTGGTGAACAAGTAATTCGTTTTTTTTTCTTTTTCAAGTAGTTTTCATAATAATTGGAGAAAAAGTTTGAAAGAACAGAAAAATTTACGAAAATAATGCTTTTATGAAACTTATTTAAATTTGAACAGAAAATTTATATTTGGCTTTTCTAGACGTAGTAAAATTTCCAGTACTCTGTGGATATAATTATTAGACTAAACAAAAATGCTCGGAAATCGAATTAGAGGCTAAAAAATAATTTAAAATGAAAACGCTTTTATTATATTGTTAAAAATATTTTCGAATAAAATAAATCATTGTTTCATTTATTTTTTTCCTCTTGGGACGAATCGAATCGTAAAAATAAATATATATTGGTATACTGTATAGTATACGTATTTGGTATAAGTACCTACATAAATAATGATACGGCGAATCGAAATAATTTTATTATCTAAATGGGGTTCTTTTTTTTACGGATTAACTGACGAGACGTAATTACTTATTGGATCTGTATAAAAGAACACTATACGAACCCTTATACTTGATTCAAACCTGTTTTGAAACGTTTCAAGAACACTGTGGCGTATAATAAATTACACATTTTTCATTTCTTTCTTTTTTTCTTACCTAATGTATATATACGTACGTAGTATTATCTTGTAAATCTACTATCTTTCGCTGCATCTTATTGCAGTTAAAAGAAATTAAAATATTATGTCTAATTATGTATATCTGCTCGTATACTATAATATTGTATACGTTTTAATAATATTTTATAGCAGATACAAAAAAAACAAATAGTAACGCCTATTAAATATGTTAGAGAATATAAACGACGTAGCAATTCAAATGGAACAACCGTATACACATCTCTCGTCCAGTTTACATTGTATAGCAGTTACGGCCGTAGTTATGAA